CCTTCCTTCCTTCCTTCCTTCCTTCCTTCATTCCTTCCTTCCTTCCTTCCTGGAATTTAACCCAGGGGCACTTAACTCCCATCCTTTTTATTTTTTATTTTAAGTTGATCTCTCTAAGTTGCCAAGGCTGACCTCAAACTTGTGATCCTCCTGCCTCGGCCTCCCAAGCTGCTGAGATTACAGGTGTGCACCATGATGCCTGGCCACTCAACTTTGATGCTGCCAAATGTTCTCTCTGGGATCCCATGGGCATATCTCCCTAATAGATGTTCTGCCCCTTCTCAAGCGGCAGAGTAGGGCAGATAGCCAAACCAATGTCTTATTTTTCTATCTTGTTGAGTGGTAAAAATAGCCCTAAATGAAAAGAGAAAATGAAGCACAATGCTTATTTTAGACTCTGAGAAGTCTTCTAATCTAAACTTCTCTTCCAATCCAATTGCATTAACTGTCAATTTCAGTTAATGTGGATAAGTGGGAACAATTTGGACTCTAACATAAAATACAGGACAGAAATAGTCTTCCTATGTTTTTGTTCTAATAATATGGACCAAGGTCTGAGAATAATGGAAACTAGTTTTCATGGTACTGGGTTTAGCACGTAAGGTAAAAAAAATCTCTATGACTTTCTGAGTTTTTCCTAGGATTTCCTTTAAATATAATTTTTTTTCTGGAAAATGTTGAAAAATAAAATAAAAATTACCCACAAGACTGCTTTTTAAGACAATTATATAAATTTTTAAAACTAGTGGTTTCTTCTTTACCCTACTGTCTCCCCAGAGTTTGGTGTGTCTTTTTCCTGACTTAGGCACAGACTCACGTTGCAGGTTGTTTTGTTTTGTTTTTAATGTCATAGAGTGATGACACCAGTTGTTGTGAGGCCAAAGTCTCATTTTATAATAAAGAAGCATATAAAGCAAGGAGTCTTGTCTGGTTTAGTATTTTAAGAGTTATTCATATTATAAAAGAATATAATTAGTTTTAAGTTTCTGGGAGACAATAAATATGATCACAAGTAAAACTATGCAACTCATCACTTGGCAATTCTTGACTAGAGGTAGTTGAGGACATGACTGCCCAGAGAAGTCATGAACATCAGTCGTGGAAAAGAAGATTCTAATTTACTTTCTGATTGGACATATTTTATGTTTACTATACTTTGTGTGCATCAGAGTTTTCATTTTAATCAAGATTCTTTTTGGATTCCTTTTGGATTGCTGATCTATGCTGGATGACCTAGTGCACTAGAGTCATGAGAGGAAAAATCAGCCACTTAGGTTAGGGGGCTATCAACCTCGCCACTGCTAAAATTTGGGGGAGCTTAGTTGTTTTGGGGAAGGTGTCTTATGCCTTCTTGAGCAACATCCCTGACCTCACAAGCAAAACTTTCTTCAGACATCTCACCGCTAGTTGAGAACACTGAGTTATAACCTTTCAAGGTGACCAAAGGGAATCTCAGTTTGTTCTGATTAATGCAAGGCTGATGCCCAGCATCCACCCTTGTATGTAAATCCATGTGCAAAACTTGTTACTTTTCTATTCTAGAAACATAAGACCAATTCCTACTTCACCCTGCTTGGCAGATTTACATGTAGTTAAATTGGGTTAATTGATAAATTGGAATTGGCATAAATTCTATGAGGAAGAATATTAGGATGTCATTGCCCTACTGGTGGGGTGGGTACAAATAGATACCTGTTATTCTTTTCATCTTGTCCTCTGTATCCCCAGCCAATTTCTCGGCGGCATCTTTTAGCTGTTTGACTCTTCCGATTGTTTCCTTTGTCAGTCCTGAAGCCCTCCTCTCATGTTGAAGAAGGGTGTACTGTTTTTTCAGCTCCAGAAACTCCTGTAACAGAGCCACACTCCCATCAGAAAGCACCCATAAAGCATCTACATATGCAGGATTCTCCTAATGCCCTTCACACAAGGAGTATCAAGGAAATCATAATCCAGTCAATGTTCCAGAGTCACCCTGATATTTCCATGGGGATTGTATTTGCATTTTTGCTTTTTTTTAGGTTGAAAAATATCCTTAGTGTCAATTAATTAAAAAGAAACTTCTTTGCTATGAAATACCATCAGTCATTATTGCATGTTAAGGCAACTGTGAGACACTATTTGTCCTATATGATTTTAAGGATGGAAAATACAGAAATAATCTAATTGACAAGACTCCTCAACAAGACTCTTGTTCAGATGGTTGAACAGTTAAACATCTTCAAGATGAAGAACAGAGTAATGAGGATTTAGAGGCAGTAAGGATAATTATTTGGTGCAATGAAGGTAACAGGAGGTAGCAAGGAGGTAGGAAAGGAAGAAATGTTAGTATGAAGAACTCTCCTGGAATTAGGATGAAAATCTTTGGGGTGAGAGTCTGGTTGACCATCTAGAAAGTTAAGTAGCTAAAGACCAGAACCAGCCATGGAGTATTGATGTGGGATACAGGTAAACAGGAAGCCCCTTTCTCAACATCTGCTCTACAGAAAATGGTCTCCCAAGTTGGTGGAAATTTTACTCAGCACATTAGGAATTAAAAGCAAAGGAATAAGCAATTTGTAAACACACTAACATTTTTCTTTTGTTTAAGCAACTGTATTAACGCAACCAACCAAAGATTTCCTGCAAGAGAATGAGTTGATAGGTTCTTTCAGCAGCCTAAATTAATGGGCCACTCTCCACAACCATCTAATTAACCCAAATCTAATGTTTGTAACTTGATCTGTTCTTTTTGGAGATGACTTTCATTTACTGTTTTCTTTCTCTTTCTTTTCGTTTTCTTTTTGTACTGGGAATTGAACTCAGGGGCACTTAACCCCTGAATGACATAAACTGAGAATATGAAGGTTCAGGAACATTTTGATTTACAGACTATTTGATAAGACATCGCTGAGAATACTTGTATGGGCAGATAGGGAGAAAATACACCAAGATTTGGTCAGGGGCTTCTGTCTTCTATAGGGAAAGCCCTCCACTGCACAAGATCCTTTGGGAATCAGGATCCCTAAAAATGTGTACCACTGAGTATGGAAGAGCATTAAAGGAAATGCTGAGAAATGGCACAAAAGTCTGGGATTAAGGGATTATCCTTCGAAAAGGCACTGTTTGTCTGCTTTTGGTGGCAGGGGTGGGACTAATGACCTTCTCAGCACCCCCAGCATGACGACGGGCGGATTCAGCCTGCACTCTTGCCCTGCCCGCTTGTTCTTGGTTCCTTTGCCACTTGGTCCACAGCAGGGAGAATCCATCCTCCTGCTCTGACAGCTGCTTTGCTAAGTCCAGCTGCTTATTCTTCATTTCCTTGGCTTTATTTTCAGCCTGTTGTTGATTTAAAGACCAGAAAGGACAAGTCTCTTTATTTAAGCAAACAAGAAAACAAATTATATTAACCCCTTAAAAAACATTAAACTAGGTAGAAAGAAAAACAGAGCCTTCACCTCTTCTGTTGCATTTATTTTAGAAAAGTTACAATGAAACATTTTAGATGTACTAAGGAGTTGGAAAAAATATGACAAATATCCATGGATCCACCAGTCTGTTTAGGAATAAATCCCTGACTTTGAGGCAGAGCCCACTGTCCTGTTCCCAGTCTACATCCTTTCTCCCCCAAAGGCACTCTCCAGCCTCAATCTAATCTTTGCCATTCCACTATTCCCATGGGCTTTATGTCACATCCTACACAGTATTCCTAGCAATATATGTAATCTTTCTAAAATGTTTTAACCATAGGCAAACATATCATACATTTCTGCAACTTGAGTATTTAAATTCAAAATTATGCTTTTGCAGGTTGTTTAAGTTCATTAATCTGTCTCTAATTCATTCATCATTTTACACATTTACTGCGTCGTTTGAGGATATAAAAATATATCCAGCAGGTGCTGGTGGTATCTACTTTTTTCCCCTTACAGACAACAGTGAACATTTTATACTTGTGTCCTATGTCAGTGACTGTATTTGTCACATCTAGAAGTCCTATTTATTTTTCAGAATCTTTTGTTCACGGATCATACCCATGGCTTCTTTGGTTTTCTAAATCTTATTTTGTACTTTATATTCAGTAACAGTAACATCCACAGTACCTTGCATTCTGATTCTGTTATTTATTGTTTCAGATGACTCCTGTTTAAGGCAATTTGTTTCTTTATATGTTTGGGAAGAAATCCTGGAGGCTTGGCTTTAAGGTCATTCTTTCAAAGGGAATTTTTGTTTGCCACTGTCAGGCATGGGGAGGGGGGCGTTATGAACTCAGGACCATTTATTTTTATTTGTTCTTTTTATCTATACATGACAGTAGAGTGTATTTTGACATGTTATACATCATGGAATATAACTTCCTATTCTTGTGGTTGTATATGATGTGGAATTATACTGGTCATGTATTCATGTATGATCAGGACCATTTTTAATGACAGTCCTAGCTTGGATAATGTAGATTTTAATCCCAAACTCATATGAGAGCCAACCTGTGTGGTTACTCCTCTATTCAGAGGCAAGTTTCTTTATTGGCTGGTGTGTGTGTGTGTGTGTGTGTGTGTGTGTAGTAATTTAATATTTCACTAAGGGTTTTGTCTTTCTGTGTCCCTGCTCTATGCAGGGGTCTTGTTATCTCCTTGCATGAGCTTTGTTTTGTCTATTATGCATGGCAACCATCAAACCCCAAAGCTATAACACACCAAGGATTGACAGATACCCTGAGCCTGCTGTCAGGTTAGTATTTGATTAGCTCTCTGCATTCATTGGCCTCTGAGGATTCTCAGGGCTTTTTTTTTCTTTCCTAATATAGCTGCTATACATTTAAAAATTTTAAGTATCCTATCTAACTTTTTTTTTTTTTTTTTTTTTTACTAGGAGGGCTCCTTAGGGTATTGGTCTACCATATTTTTAGTATGAAATCCCTTCCTGTGTCCTTGGGCATATGTGGGAATTTTTTCTGGAGCTGGAATATACACACGTTTTCTGTAAAGGGACAGATCGTAAATGTTTTACTCTTTGTGGTTCATAATTCTCTGTTCTAACTATTCAACTCTGAGCCCTTGTGGTGTAAAAGCAGCCATAGACAACATGGCCATGGCTGGATCGTACCAATTCCTATTCTAGAGCATGTATCTAGAAAGGGAGAACCTAGGGACCTCCCTTTTTTGCTACACTGTGTATGCAACCCCCTCCTATTTATTTTCTGGTGTGTTACCTCTGTTGCTTTTTGATTCTCTTCTCAGGATGCATGTAGTAGATCTACAAGATACAACTCAATAATGGAGACTGAGTCACTCTCAAGCCTGGAGGAAGGGGATATATATAACAGAGGACGGAACCCTGCAGGCAGAGCTTTCTCACCATGGACTGGGTCCTGCTCTGTCTTCCATCTGCCAGGCTCACCATCACAGGGGGTAAACCGTGGCCTACTCCCAACCAACTCTGGATGGAACACATTTATTTAGGTGAGATATCTGTTTGGTTCTTGAACACTCTGATGGAAGATCATACTAGTTACAAAAATCTTGCAACACTTAACTCTTCCTTTTTTTGATTTGTGAGCTTTTACAAGTCTGTTCCTTTTCATGGGTTCTGGCCTCAAACCTACTGTTAATTACCTGTGTGACCTGACACAATCACATAGCCTCCCTGAGTCTTAGTTTCCTCAGTTACAAATTGGTGATAGCACTTGCCTCATTCCCCAGAACTGGTTACAACTAACTGAAATGATGTTGGAGGGCTCAGTAAAACATAAATTAAATGCATAATCATGTCAACATTAATGTAACAGTACTATATCAATGTAGAACTTTAGTTTAATACTTAACCCCACTCAAATCTTCATTTATCTTTGTAATAATCCGATCAGATAAGTAAGGCAAGTGTGACGTTGATTTACGTAAAAACTGTTTCCATCCTTATCATTTATTTCAAGTTAGGTTCAAAAAAGGTGGATAATTACCTGCAGTACATTCTTTTTTATTTTTGTTATCTTGGCAGCCAGCTGAGTAATAGTAGAGTTTGCCTGTCCTTGAGTGATTTGAGCTTGTTGCAACTTATTCAATGTTTTGTCAAGGTTTAACAAGACAGCTGCTGCTTTCCTAAGGTAAGATATTAGCATATCAGATTAGATAAATACACGCAATTCTTGCTTTACTTCACCTTGAGAGTTCACTCAACTCAGTCAAAAACCTTTACTGAATTCTTTTGAAAGTGAATTTCAATTCCTCTTAAGCAGGGCAAAGTAATGAAGTCTTTATTTTGAGAAATAGGAATATTTAAATGCCAATAAAACACACACACACACACACACACACACACACACACACACACCTACACCTGGTAAAAACAGATTTCTTTGCACAAAGAAACTACTATCAGTCAGTTCCAGCTCTCTGATTTCTCAATTGCAGGGACGCTGCCCTCTTAGGTCCTTGCTGGAGTTGGGCAGGCAAGTCAAGAGGCCCCACAGACAGCAAGAGAGGACCAACGACCCTGCATTTCAGGCTGTGTTTATTCAGGGTTATTTAAGCTTTGCTGACATTCCAGCTACCCAGGGGCCCAGTCAGAGGTTAAAATCACAAGCATTCCAAGTGATACAGACTATTTTACAGAAAGGAGCTCACCTTTGTCAACATTCACCAGATACTGAGATCTACAGGCTCAAAACTACCTTGAACAGAATGTACTAAGTGACTGAAATATTTGAAAGAACTTTGGAGACGCATCCTTAGAAGTGTTTGTGTCAAAGAACAATTATCCAAACTGCAAAATATCCCCTGCCCCATCCAACCATCCCTACTCCCAGTGGGAATTTCTTTTCCTTTCCAAACTTTGGGAATCCTCCCTCCTCCCAACATAAACTCCCCACCTGCATTATCTCACTTCTGTAAAATACCCAGAGCACTGCCTACGTATATGTATATGTTTTTTTCCATATTCTTTTTTTATATTTTCAATGTACAACTTCAGACATTACTTAAGGAAGTAAAAAAGAGAAAAATTCCAGTAATTCTACCACCTTGAAAGATGCGGGCATATTTGAGTATTTTGTCCTAGAATTTTTTTTTTCTTTTCATGATTGAATTCCTCTTCCCTGTGCAATTCAGTTGCTTAATTTAAAAAGCATTACCATCACACTGACAAAATCTCTTCGTATTATTAAAAAATTTTTTTAATCAACATCATTTTTAATAGCTATGTAATCATATTGTACTTACTTAAGCTTCCTGATTTTAAATATTAAAACCAGAAGGGGCCGGGCACTGTGGTGCATGCTTGTAATCCCGGCGGCTTAAGAGGCTGAAGCAGGAGGATCATGAGTTCAAATCCAGTCTCAGCAACTTAGTGAGGCCCTAAGCAACTTAGCAAGACCCTGTCTCTAAACAAAATATTAAAAGAGTTGGGAATGTGGCTCAGTGGTTAAACACCTCTGGGTTCAATCCCTGGTACCAAACAAACAAATTGGGAAGGAGTTGAACTTGCAGATGTGGAACCCTTCATTTGTTTAAGAGGGTGATGAGGCAGTGAAGGTAGTCCAGGTCTCAGCCCTGATGAGCATCCAAAAATGGTGCTGGATGTTCACGTTACCATCCAACTGATGATGTGACCTGACCCACATCACTCCACGCTCATAAAAATATCTTTCTGATGCCTTTTTGCTTGGCAAATTCTAAAGGAGTTAGTTAATCCTGTATACCATAGATTCCATTTTACTCCTGTATTATTCCTGGGGCATAATTTCCATTTATTCTGTCCTCCACCACCATAAATTTTTACTATAGTCTTTTTTTTAAAATTGAGAATTCCAAAGTAGTGCTTATTATAACAATCCTAAAATTACAAATGGACAAAGAAGGGAAAAAGACACCATATTTCAACGACCTGTTAAAATATCAGCATTTAATTTGTGGAATTTATTGGTATGCATGGGTATTAAGAGGCTTTGACCACTGGTAGGGTATTTAGAGTTTTAGCAAAACAGAAAGCAAGCATCCCTGCCCACTGCCTCCCAAATGCCCAGCTTCCTGGGGCACCTCCAAAAAGAGCTTAGCCTTTTATTGGACATGGATCTATCAGAGGGTAATTTCATTGCACTTTATAGCTCCTGAGCAAACATTTTTTCAGATGACCTTTTAGCAGATGGTCTGTTAAAGCAAGATGAGAATATTAATACTGCACTTACTCAGCTGCTTTGGCCTTCACCAAAAGCTTTTGGGCTCCATGTGCTGCTTTTTTAAGCTTGTTCTTTTCTGTCCTGTAGTCCTCACCAAGTTGCATAAGTTTCTGTACTTTGTCAAATTCATGGGTTAGATTTTGTGATGTTATTGGTAGGTGGATGTCAAGCACACGATTTGCAACCTTCTCTATGTCTTCTGGAGGCACGTTTTCCTCTTAAATAAGAAGATGGATTTTAGCTAATCATGTTCCCTTAGCAAACTCTGTATCTACTACACAGAAACACAATGAACTCAAGTCAAATGCCCTGGCATTTGATAATGTGTTCCTAGAATACAAGGACTAGATTGCATATGTCCCATAGATGCTCTTCATCCTCAACCTTTTCTTGCCCCTGCAGAAATGCTGCTTCTGTAGTGCTGAATACTTACTGAGTAAATGCGTGTCAGAAAAATGGAAAACGAAAGACTTGGAACACTGTGCATATGCTCCAAAATATCTTCCTAAGAATTCTTTATTGTAAGTGCAGATTCAAAAGCAGTACAAATGTTTAAATGCCTGCCATTAAAATTTAAACACAGTGAATAAGAGAGGAGTGAGGTTGGGTATGAAGTCAACACAACTCGATTCCGGTCCTCCATGACCATAAGAAGGCTCACAATTTTTTGCTCATCTATATAATTGGGCAGCTATTCCTGATGCTATTGTTCAAAATTTTGTTTTGGAAGGCAATGTGCCAATACAGAGTGGAGTACCATGTGAACAGCACATTGCAAAGAAACTTTTAAACACACCCATTCCTTGCTTGTCAGAAAAGTGAAACTGGTCTCCTTTAAGAACTAAAGTGGAAGATGGCAGGTAGGGTGTGATGTCACAAGCATTTGTCACTCTCCAGCTCCTGACTGACCACCCATTACACACAAGGCACAATGCTGAGTCCTGCAGAGAAAACTAGAGATGGTTTAGACACAGGTCTTATCCTCAAAGCTTTATGGACAAGAGGGGATATAGATGTCCAGTGTATGCAAATATTGATCATAGAGCAGAAATGGTGACTATGAGACGAAATGCTGTGGATTCAGAGGAAGGAGAAAAATACTTCAGGAAAGACTTCTAACTGGGCCTTGGGGGATGCAGGTTAAACTAGTAGAGACTGTAGGGTGTGGGGAGGGTAGAGGCATCCTAAGCTGAGTGACTTGCAGAAGCCAAAGCTCAGGGTGGTACAAGAAACAGTGATGTATTGAAGGGCACCTAGGCTGGTTCCATAGTTTGGCTATTGTGAATTGAACTGCTATAAACATTGATGTGGCTGCATCACTGTAGTATGCTGGTTTTAAGTCCTTTGTGTATAGAACAAGGAGTGGGATAATTAGGTCAAATGGTGGTTCCATGCCAAGTTTTCTAAGGAATCTCCACGCTGTTTTCCAAAGTGGCTTCACCAGTTTGCAGTCCCACCAGCAATGTATGAATGAACCTTTTCCCCCACATCCTCGCCAACATTTATTGTTACTTGTATTACTGATAATTGCCATTCTGATGAGACTCAGTGCAGTTTTAATTTGCATTTCTCTAATTGCTATTAGATTAGAATAGTGTTGAACCTTTTTGCATGTACTTTTTTTTTTCAAATATATTTATTTTTTTGGTGTAGATGGACACAACACAATGCCTTTATTTTTATGTGGTGCTGAGGATCGAACCCGGGTCCCACCCCTGCTAAGCGAGCGCTCTACCACTGAGCCACAATCCCAGCCCCTTTTCATGTACTTTTTGACCATTTATATTTCTTCTGTGAAGTGTCTGTTCAGTTCCTTTGCTCATTTATTGATTGGTCAGCTCAATTCAATAATAGCCTAGCTACGGAACCAACCTTCAACAGATGTATGGATAAAGAAAATGGTACATATACACAATCAAAAGAAGAATGAAATTATGACATTTGCTGGCAATTAGATGGAACTGGAGACCATCATGCTAAGTGAAATAAGCCAGTCCCCTGAAAAACAAAGACTGAATGTTCTCTCTGATATGTGGATGTTAACACACAACAAGGGAAGGTGGGGCGGGGAAGAAAAAAGTCATTGGAATAGACAAAGGGAAATGAAGGGAAGGAAATGGAGAGGGGAATAGGAAGGATAGTAGAATTAATCAGACAGAGTTTTCCTAGCCTTGTATTTGAATACACAACCAGGGTAACTCCACATTATGTATAACCACAAGAACAGGATCCTAATTAGGATAAGTTACACTCCATGTGTGTACAATATGCCAAAATACACTCTACTGTCATGTATATCTAAAAAGAACAAATAAAATAAAATAAAAAGGAAACAGTATATGACAACCCGGCACAGAGGCGCACACCTTATAATCCCACTGGCTCTGGAGGGTGAGGCAGGAGGATAGAAAGTTCAAAGCCAGCCTCAGCAACTTAGTGAGGCCCTGAGCAACTCAGTGAGTCCCTGTCTCAAAATAAAGCCCAAAAGCTCGAAATGTGTCTCATAGTAAATTCTAGGATTTATTACTAAATTAATCTTATACAGAAAGCTATAATTTTTTGGCACAGAGTTAATATTTTGAGATTATTCTTGTTAACAAATTTAGAACCAAGCAGTACATAATCTTTCTGATTTAGGAATGTCATTTCTGATTAATGTAATTTGAAATTGGTTATAATTCTTGAGTATGAATATTTAAAAAAAATTTTTTTTGGTTGTAGGTAGATACAATACCTTTATTTTGTTTATTTATATGTGGTGCTGAGGATTGAACCCAGGGCCTCACATGTGCTAGGCGAGCGCTCTACGGCTGAGCCACAGCCCCAGCCCTTGAGTGTGAATTTTTAAAAGAGGAAGAAACAAAAATTATTCTCATGTTGAAAACATATTACCTAATAAAAAGTTCTTCACTTTTTTGATTAAAAGATTCAGTTTTTCTTCCTCGAATTCACTTTGGTTTTTCATATTTGCCAGTTTCTCATTTAGCTGCAAGACATTGTTTTTGGAGACTTCTGCCAGTTTACTTATATTTTTTATCTGGAATAAGAAAACAAAACAACCATGAGTAATGTATGAAAAAACTAAGCACATTCTGTGATATTTAATTACTTAGCTGTCACTAAAAACCAAATAGAAGTCTAGATACTTAAACTATGAATTCATTTTAAAGGACTCTTTCAATTGGTGATTTGTATCTCTTTCATTATCGTGTTTTCACAGTAGCATGAATTTGCCTTTTATAACATTGTCAGTGATCAAAATGTTATTTGAAAACCTTATCAACCTAGCACTAATACATTTTCTTAATATCAATCTAAAATATGAGTTCTGTTTTAATGAGATGTTTTTGCATCTTCCAATACCAACAACTTGCACAGGACTCACCAGCACTCCCTGCCTGCAGTGGCCACCATGTTTAACAAGTTGAAAATGTTTTCTTTTATATAAGTTAAAATAGTTACTCTTCTAAACATTCCTCCACTTCAAGTAATGCACTTTCTCTGAAAGCTAACTAGAAAGCATTCCTTCTCCTAATAAATGAGCTTGACCTGAGAGTGGGCTACAAAGATAAATTCCAAACACTGTGTGCTTGGTGGAGGAATGATGGAGCCGATAGCAACCAGAAGTGCAAATTCTTAATTGTGATTTGAGAAAGGTCATGGGCTTAGGATTCCAACAAATTAGAGAGAGGGAGGAGAAAAGCAGAAAGCAATAGAACAATATTGCCAACAAGCTGAGCTTTAGTGAATAAATTAATTGTGACAGAAATAGGGCCAATTAGGATCAAACATAATTAGGGAGGAAATACCTTCCTTTATTTCTCTACAAAAGGAACCTCCCTAATTTGAGCCATATAGATTTTGTGAAAAAGCATTTGTGTTTTGGTCATTAGCAAGTGATAAAACAAAAGAGAAGTATTTACATGATGAAATGTGTGTATCTTAATTCTCTAGAATTTTCTTAACTTTAAAATAGGTTTCTATCTATTTGAATGGGTATGGATAGCAGTAAAATGAGGATTCCAGAAATAAATATTCTAGACAGGAAAGTACCAAGTGATACAGATGAAATCTCAGAGTAGATTAGTTGATACCATATTCAGAAAGAGATTGCTAAATTACTTCACTCTTAAAACATCTCTCTGTAATCCATCTTCTGTCACAATTGATTTCTGAGAATTCTCTCACAATAGAAAATAGTACCCTATTCTATCAACATCCCTCTCTCACCCTTATCTAGCTTCCCATTTATGTGCTGATTAACCCAGACTCTCCCAATACAGACTTCAGGGTTTATCTTTTATCACTGATAGTCTAACACTATTATTAACTTAAAGATAAAATCAAGCCACAATCAAGGTTCAATTCAATGGTGTCTTTTTTTTTTTTTTTGAAGAAGGACCAATATAATAGTTTAAAATTACATAAAACAATTCTATTTAACTACTGGGACTTAAGACCAGGATTTGCAGTTATGACTGCTGCTGTATTCCCAACTTCTAAATCAATGTCTGGCACATGTTGGCATATTTGTATATAACAGTGAATATTTATGAAAACAATGGGGAACTACATAAAAGTGAAAAACTAGGGCTGGGGATATGGCTCAAGCGGTAGTGCGCTCGCCTGGCATGCGTGCGGCCTGGGTTCGATCCTCAGCACCACATACAAAGATGTGTCTGCCGAAGAACTAAGAAAATAAATATTTTAAAAAATTCTCTCTCTCTCTCTCTATCTCTCTCTCTTAAAAAAAAGTGAAAAACTATGTAACAATACAAAATTGTGGCCATGTATATAGAATTGTTCATCATTTAGTACATGTAGGATATTCTCCAGCTTGGCTCATCAGATACTTGCTCCAGAACTTGGACTCTGTAAGCAAGTGGACAAGGATGTAAGGGATGTGTATGTGTTTTTCTTGGCTGTGGTTCTCACCCAAATCCCAAGCTTGGCCCTTTATATTTCTCTTAATTCTGAGACCTAGAGGTCCTTACATGCATTTCTTTTTTTTGTTTGTTTGTTTGGGAGTTGGCTTTTCTAATCAACAGAATGCTGATTAACCCAATATTCAACCCATATTGATTTTAAAAATTCCAGTCCTTAAATTTTTTTTCTTCTTCATCAAAGGTTCTATGTGCATAGTCAAAATACAAGTTGCATCATTGTTATTTTCAAAACCAAAGAATTCAGTGCATCTCGAAAAAAATTTAAAGGACTAGGGATGCAGCTCAATGGGGAACACTTGCATAGCATGTCTGAGAGCTTGGTTTTATCCCCAACATCAGAAAAGAAGAAAGAGTTTATGACAATGACAACGGCAACAATGATAATGATAATGATGAGCTAGGTGCTTAAATATGATACTTATTATAAATATGAGCAGAAAAATAAACAGAGATGACCATAATAACTTTAAATTAACTTTATCATGTCTACCAACATAGGAAGGAGATCAAAGCCTTAGGGTGTATTCCTATTAAAATATTTTCTAACATTAAACCAATATGGAAATTTATGTACTTAGTAGAATTTTAAATAAACCTTTGAATTTTTGAAAAATTATTCTTTGCTTTGAGAGAGCTATAATTTTTAAAACTTTAAGGCTACATTTCTATGTAGTGTTTTCTATAAAAAAAAAACAAAACAAGTCCACACAAGTCTATGACCCACAGAAATACCCCTTGAGTTTTTTCTTTTCTCCTTTCTTTAACACACACACACACACACACACACACACACACTCACCCCCACTCTCAATATTCACACTTTAAAATCTACATTCATATCTATATCTATATTTTAATAATAGAATACCTATTGTTTCAGTCACTAGAACACCCAATATGTAGAATCTATCTTCTCTCACTTGGAAGTTAAATGGCACTTCAAAATTTTTACGTTTTCTTTATTGCTACAATTTTAAAATCAAGCAAGAGAAGAGATTATTTACCTGATTCTTCAACACTTGAGACTGGTTGTTCAAATTTTGAACCACAGATTCTGCATCCTGGGCTTTTTGGAGGGCATTGCTTGAGAGGGTCAGAGAGTCATGACAGTTGGGACCACCACACCGCCTGTGTCCCTCAGAGTCCCTGCAGAGAGCTCCCCCACAGGGTGAGAGATCACATGACAAGTTCCCAGGTTCTCCACACACCTCACAGGAGAAATGATTTATGTTAAAAGACAACTTGTTAGCAGATTTTCTAACACCACTGAACTCTTTGAAGTAAGGCATTGCTTTATTCATGTGAATTTCTTCAACAGTTATTCAAGCTTGGTAAATGGGGGTGACCTATTGAATGTTTCCTAGGTAACTAGGTAACTGAATAACTACCTAAATTATTTCTCAGTATTGTGCCAATATGTCATTTTTGTATTTATAGTTTAGGGGAAAAATGGTTAGATTTTAGGGTCTCCATGTTAATTTAATTTTTATTCTTTTAAAATGTGTATTAATTTAGCTGGGCACAGTGGTGCATGTATATAATCCTAGCAGTTTGGGAGGGTAAGGTAAGAGGATTCCAAGTTTGAGACCAGACTCAGAAAGTTAGCAAGATCCTGTCCTGAAAATAGAAATATAATAAGGAGTGTGAATGTACCTCACTGGTAAATAGCCTCTCAGTTCAATCCCCAGCACCAAAAAATAAAATAAAATAGGTATTAACTTTTACTTACAAAAAGCAAGAGGAGTAAATGCCCACAATCGGTATACCATTTCAGAAATAGTAAATAATATAAAACAATAAAGTCAAGCAATAATCTTTAATATGATTAAAAGTTAATCAAAAATAAAAATTAAATATATTTATATAGTTTGATAAAATATATATTACATATTATTTATATATTATATATTTGAATTGCTCACACTTTTATTAATCTAAATTTAAAAGTAAGTAAAAAATAAACTATAAAATAGGGAGGACTGGGGCTGTAGCTCAGTGGTAAAGCACTTGCTTAACACACGTGAAGCACTGGGTTCGATCCTCAGCACCACATAAAAATAAACAAATAAAATAAAGGTATTGTATCCATCTACAACTAACAAATATTTTTTAAAAAAGACAGTGAGATACAATTAAGAAGTTTGTATACCACATAGAATCCACCAAAACTTTTACGTACCGTTATGAGTATTTACCTTCTCATTCAATATCTGGATATCTGGTATCTTAATCTGCTTTAACTTTTCCAATGGCAAGTTTTCTTTTGAGGTCAGTGTATCTAAAATGGTAAGCAAGCTGGTCCTGGTGTTTACAGAGTTATTTATGATGGAACCAGTTTCATTAGTTTTCTTTTCAGCAGATGATGATATGCGGTAATACTTCTTGATATTTTCTAAGGAATCTACATCAACACAAATTGAGGTAAGTTAAATTTTGTGAAAAACAATTGCATCATCTCTCACTATGATCATTCTACAGTTTGGCTACTATCTTGGTCGAAACTTTCACTACAAAATTTCAAGATCCTCTTGCTTGATTTTGCCTTTAATGGGGAAGAAGAGACATAGTATAATAGATCTGGACATGAGATACACAACTTTGACATTAAAGTCCACTGGGATGGATTTGTCCTGGTTCCACTCTCTACTTTCTGGATACATCTTAGAGCTAATCAGTTAATCTTAGATTTTGTTTCTTTATTTGCAAATTCTTAATACTTTGTGAGGACTGAGATAATATGAAAAATTCTGTAAAATATGTCACAAATATAAAGTGTTGACTATAAACACCTATATAAACTCTAATATGATAAAACAATTAAGTTTACTTGACTGTAAAGAGCAGGAGTTGACAAACTATTCAGCAAAAGTCAGAGAATTAATGTTTTAGGATTTTCTGGCCATGATGTTTTTGTCACAATTACTCAACTCTGACATTGTATGTGGAAAGCAACAACAGGTAAGGTTGTGTGTGTTTTTTTTAAATTTTTTTCAGTTGTAGTTGGACACATACCTTTATTTTATTTATTTTTATGTGGTGCTGAGGATCGAACCCAGGGCCTCCCATGTGCTAGGCGAGTGCTCTACCACTGAGCCAGAACCCCAGCCCCTAAGGTTGTGTTTTAATGAAATTTTATTTGCAAAAAGAGCCCATCAGCAGGAATTGTCCTAGGGCTGCACTTCACAGACTCCTGATGTTGAGGCTGACGATGTTAGCTAAGAATAGCTAGTTGAGAGTTTTCTTCTCTTGTTCTTTCTTCCTTTCCTGGGGATTGAATCCAGGGATGCTTTACCACTGATCTATATCCCCACCCCTTTTTAAATTTTTTAAAATATTTATTTTGTAGTTGTAGTTGGACACAATGCCTTTATTTCGCTTATTTATTTTTATGTGGTGCTGAGGATTGAACCCAGGGTCTTGCATGTGCAAGGCGAGCGCTCTACTGCTGAGTCACAGCCCCCCTTTTTAAATTTTTATTTTGAGAAAGGATCTTGCTAAGTTGCTTAGGGCCTCATTAAGTTGCTGAGGCTGACCTTGAACTTGTAATCTTCCTGCCTCAGTCTCCCAAATTGCTAGGATTACAGGCATCTGGTTGCCAGTTGAGTGTTTTCTATATGCGTATGCTTTGATTTTCTTCCTCAGTCTTCAGCAAACACAGTGAAGAATACATTAGTGTGATCATTATCATTTTACAAATGAGAAAACAGAGGCTCTGGTGAGGTAAGTTATTTGCCAAGACCTCACTGGTAAGATAGCAAGCCAGGATTTGAACCCAGTGGTTTGACTCGAGAGCCTGCATTCTTAACACTTCTATTTTCTGTATTTGTGATAAAACATGAATTCGTGAATGTAATATGGTATATTTTAATGGATATTAACATACATTAGACTTTTAAACTATACCTCTACATTTTGGGAACTGGGGGCCAGGCTCCTGATCTTTACCTCCTACATAAGCATATCCAAGCATAAAACAACCACACCTTATCTTTTCAAACTTTCTTACCATTGTCATGCTCTTAATATATCACATTTCTCATTTATCATGAAAAAACTAAAAACACATTCCTATTTCTTGGAATGATTTTTAGTTTTTATTTATATGACAGATTTATCTCTGTCCTGTGACGCTCTGTTCAATGGCCACCTACTCCCTGAAGCCTTTCCTAATAAGCCCAGAAAGAATTCTTTGCTACTCTGCTTCCAAAGCAGTTGCTAGTGTTAACATGGTTGTTTCTATTCCTGTCTCCCTCAGCAGACAGGAATAACTCAAGGGCAGGTACTTGCTGATTCATTGCCTTATTTCTACTGACCAGCATAGTGTCAAGAATACAGAAAAATCTGGGTAACTACTGTTGGACTGCAAATTTGAGAGGATTGGCATGCGGTCAAACTTTATGCAGAAACTTCTTACCTTCAGTGCTTGCATTAAGAATGCTAGATTGCAAATTATTTCAGATTAGGAATCAGTAAATTGTGTTGAGCATCATTAATAGATCTGTGGTAGAACTCATTTCACTAAATGTAGGCATTCTTCAGGGAAATTAGGCATTCCTAATTGTATTTTTTGCCCTCTCTTTTGGGGTTGAAATTAGATGAAAAACATGTATTTTCTCCCATTTCTTCTTAATTAGACAGGGTAGGTAATTCAGTATTGCTTCCCTTGGTAGTAATAGGTTGTCCATCACCAAATACAATAGGGATGTCATCTTAAACAGGAGATGAACTACACGGTTTTGTTTAGAGTTCCATTTATTCTGTAAGTTGATTTTGCTTTGGCACGGCTCACATTCAGTTTTAAGAACTATGCAATGTGATTTCTAGTATGTTGCTTGACTAATTCCTACAAAGTTCGTATGAGAAATGTTGTGTTTAGTTCTTTTTGCTGCATATTCCTTTGTATTTGTGGTTGCTGGAAATGCAGTAGTTTACACCCAGGAAGGCACAGAAACCTCTCTCTCATTTGCTTACAGCCGTCTTAGAATTTCTAAGTTGCTGATTACTCAAGACACCTTATAGGGTTTAGCATTAGATTTCTTTGGGTTTTAGTATTTGTTTAGAATCAGATATTGTTACCTTTATTTGTTATTTTGAGCAAATGTTAACCAGGCTCTGTAATGTTTAAAAAGCTGACCTCTTCATATACAAACAAAACATTTAATGGGTGTGTTTGCATGTTCTAAAGCATTCAGGCGCCATGGTTAAGTATGGGATGACTCACTAATGGAATGAACGATGGATTTCATCAAACTTCATGCAGAAACAGTCAAAGACCATTTTTCTTCTTACCTTCAGTGCTTGCATTAAGAATGCTAGATTGCAAATCAATTTTCTCCTGAACGTTTTCAAGCAAGTGGTCTGTTTCATTCCTCATCCTTACTATGGTTTCTGTCAGATCTTGGAATTTGTACACCGTTTTCAATTGTTCATTTAGATGCGTGATTTGTTTTCTGTTGGAGAAATGAGGGTTAATGTGTTTACTGAGGGTAAGGTATTATGTGTGATATATTACTGAAAAAACATGCCACATAAATTGCTTTTATTATCTTGGGTGTACTCAATTAGAAGGGACCCCCCTCCATAAACACAGTTTTTCATTTGACTCTATAATTCTGTTTATGGTTCATTTGTTTTCTCTTAATTAAGCTTCCTGAAATATTTCATTTAAACTAATACCTGTATACCAATTCTGGCAGAATAAGGGTTTATAATCTTTCCATGTCAACTATTTATGCTCTCTCTTTCTTTGCTTTGCATTTTAAAACATGTATTTAGACATGGTTCATTTAAATCAATTTAAAAGAGCCCATCTACCTCTGGTTTGCAACACATGATAACAAAGAACAAGTCACCCAGCCTAAAGTAAAAATCAGTTCTTAATTTAGAGTAAATCTATGTTCAACAAATTTTGTTTCAGTGCTCCTTCTGTGCAGGGTCTTAACTGTAATTTTCATGAGTGACATGGTGAGCGTGTTCTAGGTCTATTTTTTCGTATCATCTTCTCTTTGATCATGCATACCTTTGTAAAACCTCAATTTGCTGGGTCCAATATATACAGCTGGTTCAAGTAGATTATGAGTATATCCTTTGTGATGCAGAAACTGGGTGAAAATCTTGGAGGGTACACTTAAGGGAACATGAATTATGGGATTAATTTATCTTGGCACAAGTACAGAACATTAGCTAATGCTTTCCTAGCTTTTTCTTCTCTTTCTTTTCTATAGACTTTTCCTTCAGGCTTCAGTTGTCACAACTATGATTCTTCAGGCTAATAGTGATAACAGTAAAAATAGTAATTATTGTTATTCCTTAAATACTATGTGCCAAACTCTATACTAAGTGTCCCATCTTGAGTAATTCTCCCAAGAATCCTATGAAACAAACACTTTATCTCTCTTTTGTTCACGAAGAAGCTGTAGCTTGGAGAAGTTAAGTTACCTTCCTGAAGCTACACATATCTAGTGGATGCAAACCAGGGAGACTTGACTTCCCAGTTCATGCTTTTGACATCCCAGGTTCTCTGTCTTCCTGCTCCCCTTTGATTTATAATTTATCCAGCAAATGTTCATTATGTAATTACACTTGGCTTAAAAAGACAAACATAGGAGAAGGCAATCCCTGCCTGGGAGTCCCCAGGCAGGCAATGGCAAAGGAGCACAATGAAGTGGGAGGATGGAATAGGAAACACAAGTCTTTCTCTGAGAGGACCGGTAGCCACCACCGTCTTCTCGTCACTGTAGGCATGGCCCCGGGATCCCCCTTCTGCTGTCTTCTCTCTAGCTCTACTTAGGGCTCTTGCAGTCTTTTTGTAGACTGGCTCATTCTTCTTTCTTGTTGGTACACTGACATTTTCCTGACATCTATAACCACAAACCACTGGTCTTGGCCTGTGCTCATCATCAGGCATGTTTTCCTTGGGCCACTTAGTGCATTTTACAAGTGCTATTGGGTTAGCTTTAGAATGCTTTAAAATGAAAACATGTCATGAAAATCTAAATGTCTGTGTCTCATAAAAAGCAGGGGGATCTGGTAACACAGGGCCAAAATCTTGCAGGGCAAAAGTCATTAGAGGGTAGAGATGTGTCTGTTCTCATTGGCCAGCTTGACTTGGCCATGTGATTTCCCTGGGCCCTATCACTGTGTTTATGAGGTGGTGGCCCTTTCTCAGAACTATACAAGTAGGCTGTATCTCCTTCCTTGTGTAACTTTTAAGCAATTGTCATATATATCTGAGATATTCACATATCAATGATGAATGACCTTAGAGTTGCACTTGAGTTACGTAGGACATAATACTCTATAGCTTCAACTATTTCTTAATTCAGGAACTTTTAATGGGGAGTGAAGACATTGTATTATATAACCTCACTTTTTGAGATTTCTTAGTAGACTATGAGCTTCTTTGAGGATAGTAACTATACCCAGTTCACCCAGGTTTTGCCCAGAGAAAGTTGGCACACTCTGCCTCAGGAGTCGAGGTGCCCGTCCTAACTGTGCAACTCTGCCATTCCAGAGGGAGAGCAGCCACAGAGGGTACGTGAATACATGAGGTTGGTTATGTTTCAGTGAACTTAATTCACAGAAGCAGGGCTGGCTTGGATTTGACCTGTGGGCTGTAGTTTGCTGATTTCTGGCCCAGAGAAACCAATGTAATCTTGAGAAATGGTTGTTGAATGGGGGAAAAAAAAGGAATCAACAATATGTAATAAAAACAATCTTGCATTTTGAAGGAATACCATATTTGTTATAAGACTGCACACTAATGTATGGGCTTCTAAACAACTGAAAAATTTGGGAAAATTTAGCAAGTTTTCCATGAGTGCTTTGATAAAAAATAGTATTATTTGTATTAGAAACAACTATACTTCCAGTTTGTCTTTTCAGCTCTGCTGGGTTTGAACTTCCCAATTAATCTCCTTTCTCTGTGGGTGGAATCATGCCCCCAAGTGTGCTGGGCAAGCGCTCTACTACTGAGCTAGGTTCCCACCCCTCAATTAACCTCATATTGACTGTCTTTTTGTTATAATCAATGGCATCTGGAAAAAATCACATACAATTCTAACAAGGCAAGAAAGACAGACCAGCAGGGTTACTAGCCTGGTTATTAACTGAACACTTATCTATTCCCTGATATCAATGAAGACAGAGGCAGGAGCTGAGGTAAGTCAGGAGCTGGGCTATCTTTCCCTCAAGCACAGAGCTTACCTAACAGAGTCATGATAATCCTTGACTTTTAAGAATTCCTCAGATGAGAGAACAGGATGTTTCAAAATCCTCTCTATTTCAGACATGTTCTCTCTGAGGCCTTTGAAGTCACAGACCGGCAGGGTCTCTCTTTTATCTTCCATGTTAGCAGCCAGCCTAATTAACCCTTGCACTGCTTTGGAGAGGGAAGAAATGGTTTGGTCCCATTGATCAAAACACAAGTGACATCGAAGACAAGTAGGGAATTCCTGACCATGACCCCGGGCACAGTGGTCACATCGCTGGCCGCTGACACCCTCCCGGCAGTGGCACATGCCTGTGTCTGGGTCACAGATAGGCTTCTGGGTTCCTTCCATGTTGCAGTCACATGCTAAAAAGGAAGAGAAAAGAAGCAAAGAACGTCACTTGGTTTTTTGCTTATGACTAGCTCAAGAACACAGCTCTCTCTTCTTTCCTGAAAATCTTTCCAACGTATGTTTCTAAGGTGGCTATTTAAAAACTATACAATTTCAGAGATCTGTGCAATGGTCATGCCTCTGTATAAACATGCCTCTGTATATTTCAATAGCAAATCAGTTCATGGTTTCTATATGGAAAATTTGGGAAACTGTTTTATATATTGTGTGTGTGCCTATGTATGTTCTTTATCTGTTTGAGGGAGACATGTGGATTTGATGGTGGGTAGCACTTCAGACATGCTACTGACTCAAAGAAGTCCCAGGTGTGCTGGGTGTGCTGACCCACGATGTCTTCCATTACATAAGGGGGGGCTATTTCATTCTCAAAAAGTGGGGGAATTAAATGCATATTATCTTAATTTTGAAAAATTATCTGATGCCCCATAGCACTTTGAGTAGGTTCCTGATCAAATCAGAGGATGGACGATGTGGGAAGCTATTGTCATCATTGCAATCTCTCAAAGATTAGGGAATCACTGGTCCATGTCTTTCAACTAATTGCAAGAAACAAATGATTTAAAAGGCATTTGACAGTTTGAATATAAATAAGGCCAATTACAAATACAAACTGATTAACACCCTAACCTCCTCAACTAGATATTATCCAGCACATATTATCAGATTTGGTCCATGGGCTTCAGCAGGAAGCCCTGGGGGTAGTGTTATCTCACTTCCCCAGCTGGAAGGCAAGGTTCCCTCATCATTACCTGGTCTCCTCCAGGAGCTTTAGTGGAGTCTGTGGCCTGTGGGGAACATTTGTAAAGTTTCTCTATTGCTTCACAATAAAAGGTAAAAGCATTTTTATGAAATAAGATTATTGGAATATTAGATGGTTATGGAAAAAGAGGTCCTCTAAGACAAAATTTCCAAAGGTTAAAATTTCTCCCTGTTTTTTGTTTTTCTTTTCTTTTAGGGGTGATAGTGCTGGAGATTTTACCCAGCACTATCAGCAGCAAGCACTCTACACTGAGCTACACTGCCAGCTCCTCCTCCTGGTTTTGAAATGATCAATTCTGCTTAGAAAACTAAGTAAAGTGTAGCATGGAGAGAACTCACTGAGTACACATATTTGAAGGGGGCAAGGGAAGGATGGCAATATTTTTAGCCACAAAAGACCATTTATACAGAAATGGAGAGGAGGAAAGAGTTATCATGCTTGGCGACATAGGGGTGACCATGATGGTAAGACCATCACATTTGGCATTTCTTTGGATTGATCTCCTTTGGAAGCTGATTTTAAAAGGAGATTAAAAAATCGTGTTCCCTAGAACAAACCTAGACTCTAAATGTGCACTAATGTGGCACCCACTAACTGAATGTGGCTATTTTAAATGAAATAAATAAAGAATTCTGATCCTCTGTTTCAGTACATGCTAGTTACCTGTAGCTGGTAACTGGGCAGCATGGAGGTTGAACATTTCCCTCACTGCAGAAAGTTCTATTGGACAGAGCTGCTTGAAATGCTGCTATTTAGGGCTCACATACGTCGTAATGAAGGCCACTGGAAGAAACTCCAAGAGGATAGTGGTGTCACATTGTTTGTGACACCTAAAACACCCAGCAGGCGTTCTATGAATGTTTATTAACTAAGTAACTATGGGATAGACCCAGGGTCATGGATCACTTTGAGGAAATATTTATCTCTCTGGCTTCCTATGCCTATCTCCCAGCCTCTCCCTCAGTCCAGAGTGGTTAATTTTCCCCCAAACACTTGTAAACATCAGAAAATTGACTATAAATCATCGTCCTAGAGGTCTGTTCCACTGTAGTGAATTCAAGGAATTATTATTATTATTTAGTTGTAGTCTCACTATATTGCCCAGGGTGGCTCCAAACTCCTGAATTCAGAGATCCTCCTGCTTCAGCCTCCCAAGTAGCTGGGACTAAAGTCATGCACTACCATGCCTGACACAATTTTGAGGGATTTGAATATAGGCTAGTTTTTAATACAGGCTAAAAGTTTTAGCATAGGAGAAAACTTTTTTGTAGGGCAACAAAAAGATTATTTTCAAAACTCAGATAAAACTTTGTGAATTTTCAAATGAAGTCCACATCTAAAATCAACAACCAAATGAAGGAATTTGAAACTCAGTGGGTTCATCATGTGCCCACGGCAGGGCCAGCTGAGTGTACTCACATGCTTAAAGAGCTTCAATACTTACGAAGGCATTGCCCGAATGGGTCACCATAATAATTTTCCTGGCACTCATTACAGCGTTTCCCACCATAGCCCAGTTTGCATAGACATTGGCCTGTAAGCTGTGAGAACAGTCACAGGTGAGGAAGGGATGAGCTCTGTGGTGTGAAATATAATGCATTTGCTCAGGGAACATTTTTCCCTCCAGTGACTTAGAACATACAGCTGTGCAAAAGCGGAGAAGGATGATTCCCACGGCCAGCAAGCACCCTGGATAATACTGAGACTCAGGAGCTAATGTGTTTTGGCCCTAGGCTGTTGGATATACCGCCTGTGTCCAGCTGTTCAGGGACAGGTGGCCCCAAGTGGGGAAACATACACAGATGTAAATGAAAACAAAACACATATTGGGAAATGGGCCACATTCTTTCCCTCTACAGTTATGGGAGTTTCCCCCAGAAGAGAGAGATGGGGAGAGAAGCCAAAGACCTGGTCTAACATTCATCAATTAATTTGGCAAGTAATGTTTCCATTAAGGAATGTAGATTGTATTAACTGAGCTAGGGTTCTGCTAAAATAAAAAAAAAAGGATTGTTTTGTACTTTATATTAATCATTTAATGACTGTCGTTTAACTGTGAGGGAGAAGACTAAACTTTCTTGAATCCTCCCAACTGGATTATTGACTAGTTGTTCTAAAAACTGAGGAGGTTAGAAAATAATAGGTGAGAATACAAACATAAAACACTATTGTAGTAGTCCTATGCTTGACCAAATCTGCTTAAATGTCAACTCTGTCAGAAGGCTTCCAGTAAATTAGCAGCTAGATTCATAAAGTGACTGGGTCTACCAAGCTTCTACTCATCTTTAGATTCCCATTAGCTTCTGCTAAAAAAAAAAAGAAAAGAGGGAATGATAGGGAGCTTGCTGCTCTTGAGGCCTGTTGTACTGCTAGTTGGTCTGGATTGTTGGGCATTGATTTCTCTACTGATGCAAAATCTGCCTCCTTGTAACTGGTTCCTACTGTTATGAGTCCTGACTTGTGGAATTGTATAAAACAGGGAGGCTCCCTCTTTCTTAACAAAAGATGGCCATCTCAACTGGCTTTTGCATCTCTTCTCCAAGCTGCCTGCCTCCAATTCCTTCAAACCTTCATCACAGACTAGCATGGTTCTATCCCTTATTCTAGTTGCCTTTTTTTGGACATAACCTCTATGTTATGTTTAAAATATGATGCTGAGCAGAAAGACAAATCCTGACCACTCTCATTCATATGCATGTGGAAGCTTAAAAAGTTGATCTCATAGATGTAGAGAGTGAAATGGAGGAGGCGGGAAGGATAGAGAGAGGGGAGAATAGAGGAGGGCGGGTTGATGGGTGCAAAAATACAGTTAGGAGGATTAAGTTCTAGTCTTCTATAATATAACAGGGTGATCTAGTTAATAATTTATTACATATTTCAAAATAGCTAAAAGAGAGGATTTTGAATGTTCCCAACACAAAGAAGTGATAAGAATTGTGTATGATCATTACACATTGTGAATATGTATCAAAATATCACACTCTACTCTATAAATGTGTATAGTTACTGTATGTTAATTAAAACTTTCTAAAAAATTACAAAAAATATGGTGCTCAGAAATGACCACAATGCTCCTGGAGCTTCCTGACCAGCAGAGCAGATATGGAGCAATGACTGCCCTGAGCTGGGCATGCTGTGACCCCGCTCTAGTTGGAACAGGCATCACTCCTTTGGCAGCCCTGGCACACTGCTGGCTCACTTGAAGCTTGAACTTGCAAGTGAAAATTTTCAGATATTTTTCACAGGAGCTGGTGCCAAGTTATTATCCTGTATTTGTGCAAGTGATTTTAAAAACCTAATTGCACAATTTTACTTCTACCCTGTTAACATTTCCTTTTGTTTCTAGCCTACACGACAGCCTGTTAGGTTGTGCTGTCTCCTGCACATTAGCTTACAGCTTTGCAGTATCTGCACATTTGAGAAACTTCTTACTCCAACTCTGCTAAACTGTTGATGAAAACATTGGACAACACATTGGGATCTCTCTATGGGAATGCACTAGGGGCCACCCCTGGCTGACACAGAGACATTTATCAGTAGTTGTTTGAACAGCTGGGAATCTAATTATTCACATGTCTTCTTTATACTCCAATGAAAAGTGTTTCCTGATTGTAGAGAGTAACCTTCCACATGGGATCCACAGTGGACCAAACAACATAAAATACCCTTGCTATGAGGTGCTTTTTGGTTAAACAAATGTCATCTGACCTTCAGCTTCATAGGCTTCCTTTAGCCTCCATGGCTGAACTGAGTGTTGAGTAATGCTACAAAGATGCTTCCCAAAGGGTCTAAGAGGCATGTGGGACAGAGCAGTCATCCATGTTAGAAGTCCCTCATGAATCAGGAAGCCCAGCAGTCTGTGGCGTTCTACCAATTTATTCCATGGTTAGTGGCTACAGGTAAGAAGGGAACACAAAAAATGGGTGTGTTCACCTAGCATCCAGATCTTGAACTCACTATCTCCAAAAAAGGAACCAGCACTCATTGGACAAGGGGCTGATTCTAGGACTGGAGCAAGAAATACATAAAGATGAGCCTGAAGCATTTTTCAGTATAAAAAAATAAGGAAGTACTTTGAAAAACCCTACAATTTGGGGGTATGTCAAGAAGACACAGGGGCCTAATGAATGAGCTTCCAATGGTTAAAGTTGGAAAAATTTGAACAACAAAATAATGTTGGACCATAACCAATAGTGTAAAAGTATCCATGAATTCATGGTGATATAAATAAATTGAATAAATGCATAAATGGGGGACAACAAAAATATCTCCAGTGCAGAAGAATTCCAACTATTCATGGAGATACTCTGCCCTCCAGGGGGTGGACATAATTCCTTGCTGCTTGAGTGTGGGTTGTGTGTGGCAACTTCCATCCAAGAGTACAGTGTGTAAAGGAAGAAGAGAGTGACTTTAGAAGACAGAAACCTGACCAGTGCTACCTCTGCCTGGTGCCCAAGATTCACGTCAAGAGTGATAAATCAAGCTTCTTGATCCATTTTGAGTTAACTTTTGTGCATGGCGAGAGGAGGGGATTCAGTTTCATTTTGTTGCATATGGATTTCCAGTTTTCCCAGCACCATTTGTTAAAGATGCTATCCTTCCTCCATTGCATGCTTTTAGCCCCTTTATCAAATATAAGATAGTTGTAACTTTGTGGATTAGTCTCTGTGTCCTCTATTCTGTACCATTGGTCCACCCGCCTGTTTTGGTACCAGTACCATGCTGTTTTTGTTACTATTGCTCTGTAATATAGTTTGAAATCTGGTATCGCTATACCGCCTGATTCACACTTCCTGCTTAGAGTTGCTTTTGCTATTCTGGGTCTTTTATTTTTCCATATGAATTTCATGATTGCTTTATCTATTTCTACAAGAAATGCCATTGGGATTTTGATTGGGATTGCATTAAACCTATAGAGAACTTTTGGTAATATCCCATTTTGATGATGTTAGTTCTGCCTATCCATGAACAGGGTATATTTTTCCATCTTCTAAGATCTTCTTCTATTTCTCTCTTTAGGGTTCTGTAGTTTTCATTGTATAAATCTTTCACCTCTTTTGTTAGGTTGATTCCCAAGTATTTTATTTTTTTTGAGGATATTGTGAATGGGGTGTTTTTCCTCATTTCCGTTTCAGAAGTTTTGTCGCTGATATACAGAAATGCCTCTGCGTCTGATAGAAGAAAAAGTTGGCTCCGATCTACATATTGTGGGGTCGGGCTCCAAATTCCTTAATAGGACACCCATAGCACAAGAGTTAATAACAAGAATCAACAAATGGGACTTACTTAACTAAAAAGTTTTTTCTCAGCAAGAGAAACAATAAGAGAGGTAAATAGGGAGCCTACATCATGGGAACAAATTTTTACTCCTCACACTTCAGATAGAGCCCTAATATCCAGAGTATACAAAGAACTCAAAAAATTAAACAATAAGATAACAAATAACCCAATCAACAAATGGGCCAAGGACCTGAACAGACACTTCTCAGAGGAGGACATACAATCAATCAACAAGTACATGAAAAAATGCTCACCATCTCTAGCAGTCAGAGAAATGCAAATCAAAACCACCCTAAGATACCATCTCACTCCAGTAAGATTGGCAGCCATTATGAAGTCAAACAACAACAAGTGCTAGCGAGGATGTGGGGAAAGGATACTCTTGTACATTGCTGGTGGGACTGCAAATTGGTGCGGCCAATTTGGAAAGCCGTATGGAGATTCCTGGGAAAGCTGGGAATGGAACCACCATTTGACCCAGCTATTGCCCTTCTCGGACTATTCCCTGAAGACCTTAAAAGAGCGTACTACAGGGATACTGCCACATCGATGTTCATAGCAGCACAATTCACAATAGCTAGACTGTGGAACCAACCCAGATGCCCTTCAATAGATGAATGGATAAAAAAATGTGGCATTTATACACAATGGAGTATTACGCAGAACTAAAAAGTGACAAAATCATGGAATTTGCAGGGAAATGGATGGCACTAGAGCAGATTATGCTAAGTGAAGCTAGCAATCCCTAAAAAACAAATGCCAAATGTCTTCTTTGATATAATGAGAGCAACTAAGAACAGAGCAGGGAGGAAGACCAGGAGGAAAAGATTAACATTAAATAGAGACAGGAGGTGGGAGGGAAAGGGAGAGAAAAGGGAAATTGCATGGAAATGGAAGGAGACCCTCATTGTTATACAAAATTACATATAAGAGGTTGTGAGGGGAATGGGAAAAAAAACAAGGAGAGAAATGAATTACAGTAGATGGGGTAGAGAGAGAAGATGGGAGGGGAGGGGAGGGGGGATAGTAGGGGATAGGAAAGGTAGCAGAATACAACAGTTACTAATATGGCATTATGTAAAAATGTGGATGTGTAACCGATGTGATTCTGCAATCTGTATTTGGGGTAAAAATGGGAGTTCATAACCCACTTGAATCTAATGTATGTAATATGATATGTCAAGAGCTTTGTAATGTTTTGAACAACCAATAAAAAAAAATAAAGAAGCCAAAAAAAAAAGAGTGATAAACCATGTTAATAACATGTACCCTTAATATGATGTGATGAGAAGGGGAACACTTTACCTCCTAGCTCTTCTCAAAACCCATAGCTCCAGTCTAACAAGGAAAACATTGGATTAATTTTAACTAAGGGACATTCTACAAAACACCTCTCAAAACTGTCAAGGTCATCACTAACAAGGAAAGTCTGTGAAACTGTCACAGCCAGGACTAGCCTACAGAGACACAATGACTCACTATAGTGAGTTCTGGGTGGGTCTTGAAACAAAAAAGAGATATTAAGTAAAAACTGAGAAAATCTGAATAAATAATGAAGTTCAGTTAATGATAATATATTGATCCTGGTTCATTAATTGTGGCAATTAGTGTAAGATGTTAACAGCGGGGAAAACTGGTGTGGGGTACATTGTCTCTGTACTATCATCAGAATCTCACAAATCTATTCTAAAATAAAAAAAATTTTCATTTTTGAAAAGGAGAATGGTAGGTTTGTGTGGGTTGGTGGGGGAGTGTTGCAGAAGAGGAAGAAGAGAAAGGAAAACACATTCTATATGTAAGAACTCCCTTCAAAAATGTACGTTAGACTTGACCTTTGAATAATAAATTGAACAGTGCAGCTGAAATTGGAGGTGAGCTATGCATACGAATTATGATTACTCTAGCTTCTTAAATTAGTATTTTGATCCAATTAAACTCTGATCCCTATATTGTGAATTTGTCTTTTTCTAAAATTTCTTACTATTGTTTTATCCTCTCTCATCTCTATTAATGTGAAAAATGGATTCATTAAGCCAACAAACAAGGCAAAACAAAAAAAACAAATTATGATTTGACATTTTTTCATTAATAGATATTATAATAATCTTTAAAAATTCTGTGCCCCTTGTTTTATTGACTAAAAACCATAGTTAAGTAGTGTTAGCTGTATATTCTGTGGTGACCATTGGCTCCTAGTGGCCTATCTAGCCTGGGCTCTTTAGAAGCACTCATGCTGGTCTGAACATAAAGAAGAAATCCTGCTTTACCACACATAAAGAAACTTACAAGTCCTCAGAAATGACAGCTCCATTTTAAAAATGGAATTGTGTCTCTAGCATGGTAAACAAAACAAAACAAAACAAAACAAAAAACCCAACCAACCAACATAACAACAGCAGCAGCAGCAGCAACAACAACACCAACAACAAAAGGAACTGTGGATTCTGAAGGCACCTGTTTATTTATAAGTAATTTCTGGTTAACAGCCTATTTCTTGGGTCCTCTCTATGATCCTGAGAGGGAAGGTTCGTATCTGGGCTTTGTTGTGCAGGAAGTCTGACTTCCCCAGTCACAGACAGGCCTAAGGAAAATGGAAGTGGGTAAGCTTAACTCAGAGATCCTCATACTCTTTTTCTGAGTCTTTTCATTCCTTAGTAAATAAATACCAACTCTGTGTCTATATAAGGTTATTCATGTCTAAAAACAATAGCACACTTAGAAAATTTTCTTTACACATTTGGAAGGCACATTTCAGTCAATACAATTCTCACTTTTGAATGCACTAGGAAGTTTTAAAGTGTCTTGCCTGGTCACAGTGGCTGCTTTGAGAGGTCTGGTGGTCACAGTCACATGACTGACATCCCCTGCCAGGGACAAGATTCCAGTGTCCATCAGCACAACGGTCACAAGCCAGGCCTGTGACATTTGGTAGACAAGGGCATGCACCAGTGATGGGGTCACAAAGGCAAGCTTCCTCACCAGGGGGACACACAGTGGGACTGACTCCAGATGGGTGGCAGGAGCATCCTGAGATAAGACAGCTGTTGTTAGAAGTAAATTCAATAACACTGGCATTTAACAAACCATGGGAATAGCTTTTTAGACCTGGGTATATCGTTTTTTTCCAAATGAATCAAAGAAAACCCTCATAATAGCATGGGATTTATTAGAGAATCTAAGCTGAACCCATTCAATTATTTTTGATCCCCCCCAAGTGCCAGTTTCACACATGTCAACCCACTGTGCTCTGGGAGCTCACAGTAAGGATGACTATAAGCCTTACTTTCCCCTTATGTCATTCGCCAAAGCCCTTTTTATTTAAATGATTTGGGGGAAAAAAAAGGATTACTAAATCAGTTTAGGTTAGTGGAAATAGTTAAAATATCCACTGATATTTTAGTGCACATTTTTTCTTTCTTTTTTCACAGAATAAATCTTGGTCTTCCACAGTGATTCTCACATTTATACATTAAAGCCACTTGATGAGCTTCTTAAAATACAGATTCCTGGGCCTCACAGAGATTCTGATTCTGGGGTCTGGCCTATAACCTAGGAATCTGCATTTGAGTCTCCCTACCTCACTCTAGCTCCAGGTGATTCTGGACCCTGTGGACCACACTTTGAGAGATATGCTTTGAATCTACTAGGACAGGTGTTAAAGACAAGAGTCACAAAAGGCAAATGAACAACAGCAGTGAGAACATTGAGACTGCATTTGAGAGAGCCTGCGGTGACACTGCACTCATCTCTGTGGGTGTCAACTCAGTGAAACAGTCCTATCACCCAACTGGTGTTGGGTGCTGCTTTCACTTGCAGGGACCGGCCTAAATGAAGCAAGCATGGGAAAGCTGGCAACACATTAATGAGCTGCCACTCAGCCACCGCATTCCTCCCAGACAGCTTTGCAGACTTACTTCTGCAGGTCTGATTGAGGGCTGATCCAAAGTGACCTGGTTTGCAGAGCTGGCAATTTGTACCCTGAGTGTTGTGCAGACATCGAAGGCACTCCCCTGTTATTCGGTTGCAGGACTCTGGATCAGTTACATCTATGTTGTTGTTGCAGGCACATGGCTGGCAAGGTGCTCCCGAAACACTTGGATTACCGTAGAAACCAGCAGCGCATTCCCCACACTGAACACCTGAAGGCAGGTGGTAAGAAAAGGGAACAGGATGAGGCATAAGTGTTGGGTAATGGAGGGGGATTGATGTAAATAGAGAATTCTTGGACTCCTTTAGGTATAATGAGAAGTCACACCTTTATTTCATTTAGTATTCTAAATGAAATAAAATATTCATTTAATGTATTATTCATTCAGAAAATTAAAAGATCATACAGAACTAAGAAGTCTTTGGTGAAGAGTAGATTCTAGTCTTTATCAAAAACTAAGAAGTTGTGGGCACAGTACTTCTAAGTCCTTATGTCACCAACGTTACTCTTATGTGCCCCAGGACTGAAAGTTCAGTGCAACAGCCCCTCTCCTCCTGATGGCACACCAACTTTCACCCAATATGAGAGGGGAGCTGTGGTTAAAATGAGGCAGCTCTGAAGGGAAAATGCACCCCCCCCCAAAAAAAAGTGACGGATTGGGAGGTGTGTTTAAGGTGAAGAAAGGTAAGAGCAGTTTTTGATATATGAGCCCTTGAGGGTGTTTCTCCCAAGCACCAAATGAAGAAGCCATCTTTCTCTCCAACACTCTTTCCCTTCCAACCTCCAGGGAATTGCAGTGTTTAGGTGCCCAAATGGTGGATCCACTCTTCATATTTTGGTTTATCCCCTTGGAAATGCTCTTAGCCTAAAGATGGCCTCAGTCCTTAAAAACTGTCGAATCAAGCCAAACTGTGCTTGGAGAAGAAAGAAGAGGCAAGAATTAACCAAGGCCATGTATAACCTCAGGTGTAACAAACAAGAGGAAAATCAGTCCTGTGATTTGTTATTTATAATGGTAATTATCCTTGAAGAAAATAATATTGCCATATTTTTAAGTATAATTAAATCAAATAGACTTTTAAAATTTTTCCTTGCTTGCATTATATACTCACATTCATGATTAAACTCTTTAAAATAAGAATTTTGGGGGTTGGGGTTGTGGCTCAGTGGTAGAGCGCTCCCTCACATGTGCCAGATCCTGGGTTCGATCCTCAGCACCACATAAAAATATATAAGTGAAATAAAGGTATTGTGTCCAGCTACAACTAAAAAATAAATATTAAAAAAATCCTGTTTAAAAAAAAAAGAATTTTGGTGGAGCAACAGATACAAATTTAGAATTAGAACTTATGCAGTATCTGCACAATGCCCAAATCAGTGCTCAAAGATATTGAAAAAAATTGGTTATATCTGTTAAATAACAGTCAAATTGCTTACTTGTAATTATACAAAGAAAACATTTGACTGATTAAATTTTATTATTTTATTATTTATTTGCTTATGCAACATGTTTTATACAAATATATTGATGTTTTACATACATACAAAACATACATATGCTACTTAATCATATGTATTTTACTAAGCATGTGATGATTATAATTTAAATAATTTAACTTGATCTCATTTGGTCAGTTAATTTTCTAAAACATTATTTAAAAGCAATTATAGCTCAGTGGAATGAGTTTTTTACTTGTCATTGGTTTTTGAATCCTTCAAATTCATTGTTCAGTAAAGGAACAGCAACTCAGCAAATTGTGCCTTCTTACCATTAACTGATCTTCTGCACCACTCATGTGTCCAAGGCAGACAAATTATGAACATGTGATTATTTTCAGATTGCAGCATGGGATGGAAGGAAAAATGATGAACTAGACTTCATACCTGCATAACCTTGAAGACAATTGCAGATTACATCTGACATCCAAGGACTCTGATAACAGGAATGGGCAAAATACTGATTGCTTGAGGGAGCATCTGGACACAGGCAAGGACGACAAGACTGTCCTAAAGAAGGATTTCCATAGTAACCATCGATGCACCTGTCAAAGCAATTTCCTTTTACCAAATGCTCCTGGGAAAAGGTCATGTGTTAGCAACTGTGGATTTGCTATGCTTTAGGACAATGCAACTCTCAAAACTCAATATTTTAAAAGATGTTGTGTAAAAGATTTTTTTTTTGTTTGATTTATATTGAAAGTCCCACAGTACAGTCCTTAAACCCTTCATGACTTACATGTTGGAGTGGAGAAACATAAAAAGCAACGTGCCAGGCAAATGGGTTACAGATTTAATCAGACATTTTCTGGGGTCATAAGATGACTCTGAAGCATGATGGAACCATTATCTCCCTCACCCCTGGCATTTGTTCTACACTTAAATACTGTGGATTATTTTCTTGAAGGTCCTCCTTTGTGAAATCGGAACAAAAATTTCAAAATCTAAAAATTAAAGTGCATGTGAATTCCATACCTTTCACAGTTTTTTCCGGTTGTGAAACCTCCACAATCGAAGCACGACCCTGTCTCTGAATCACAAAGTTCAGCAAACCCATTGCAATGGCAAGGATGGCAGTTGGGAAACCCAAAGTAGCCTGCCAGGCACTGATCACAACAGCGGCCAGTCACCTCTTTGTGGCAGGGGCACTGACCGGTTATTTGGTCACAGACTGTGTTCTTCGAACCTTGAGGATGGCAGTGACATGCTGGATAAAACAAAGAGAATTGTGTTGGGTGGTAGCAAGCATGATGGTGATGAAACAGTTAAAGTTACAATTTTTTTTTGCATTCACTGTCCCAACCCAGGTGAATAAAATGACTCTGTAAAGTGCTTAGAACAAAGCCTTGGCACATAATGAGCACCAGACAAATGTTTTTTAAATAACTGATTCATTCAATAAACAGTAGGTTTTGAACGGCTGGACCTTATGAACCCTTGTTTATACAGAAGAACCAAATAGGCAATATGTTTTCAATGACTTACACTTCCAAATATTATTAGAGGTCAAAGTATAACTTTGATACTGTAAAAAATGTCAGAACCCTTCTTGGGATAGTCAGAGTTTTCTTTTTCTTAGACTAGGTAGTAGAGGCCCAATGCTTTTCTGATAAATTACTGAATCTCTTGAGCCAATCTTCCTTGTACAAAAATGTAAGGGCTGTTGGTTTGATAGCGTGTTACACAGAAGAAGTGTTTGCTCCCTGTGTAAATCTCTTTGCATATCTTAAGCACTTCATAACATTTTTTAATTTTTTTAATTTATTTATTTTTTTATTGGTTGTTCAAAACATTACAAAGCTCATGATATATCATCTTTCATACATTTGACTCAATTGGGATAACATTTTTTTAAAAGAAAGAAAAAGTAATAATGGACCTAGGTAGGTACTGTTCACTAGGTAGGCAGCCACACCCAAGAAATGCCAAGGAAGAGGACCCCATTTTTGAATCATGTCTGAAAAGATATGTTCTCCTATTGGAAAGGAGAATGAACCTATCTACCTATAGGTTTCATGGCTCCTAAGGTAGGTTTCAGTGGGGAACAATATTTTAATGGCTTAAATAGTGAACAGATAACTAAAAATCCTACATATGAAGCCAGAAAGCTGAATTATAACTGGCTGAAAGAACTGGGTGGCTCCTTCATGTTTTTTTTTTTTAATAGCTTTAACTTATTTATCTTTTATCTAGTGCTGAGTATCGAACCCAGTGCCTCACACGTGGTAGGCGAGCCACAACCCCAGCCCCATGGTGGCTCTTTCTTGACTTCCTGGTCTCATGGCTGTTCTAACCTCTCCAGCCACTGGGCTTAAAGGGTATATCTTTAAAACACTGGGTTTGCCTAGCCAACTCCCTTCATGGTGTTCCCACTTTTACCGATTACTTCCCATTTAACACAGGATACAAAATTCCAGACACGCAAACCACATTTTATTCCTAACCGAACTCTACACTCAGTTGGTGCTGGTTGATCAGTGGATGAATGAAGTTTGGTAGGAAAAATTTCAGCACATTTTATCTACATAAAGCCTGAATAACGCAGTCAAGTTCCCAATTTCCCTTCCTTTAAAACCCCCACATGCCTCTGCCTGCCTTTGAAATGCCAAGATTGTAACTAAGCATGTTTCCCCTTGTATCTTTTTCTACGTACAGTGACAGCCATGATGTCCCAAACCGTAGCTTCCAGTTGAGCACCTGTTGCAGCAGCGCCCAACCACATGAGGTTTACACTGGCACTGGCCTCCAAGTGGGCTGCAGCTGGATCCGACTGCACCCTGGGGGTGACACTTACAAGCTGAAAAGAACAGAGGAACTTGGATAGAGCTGAAGGAGGTGGCAGAGAAGGACCTTGCCCCTTGTGGATCTAGTTTACTTTGTTTGGCACTTCTCTAGCCCTTGTCTGCCTCAACTGTTAAATGGGGACAACATAGGATCTACCTTATGGGACTGTGGTACAGATCAAAGGCAATAATACCTGTGTAGTACTTAAAATCACATTTGGCATGTAGTAAATACTCAACAATAATAATGTTATTATTATTATTTATTTTTGATACCAGGGATTGAACCCAGGGGTGCTTAATCACTGAGCCACATCTCCAGCCCTTTTTAATTTTTATTTTGAGACAGGGTCTCGCCAAATTGCTTAGGGCCTTGCTAAGCTGCTGAGGTTGGCTTTGAACTCGGAATCCTCCTACCTTGGCATCCTGAGCTGCTGGGATTACAGGCATGCACCATCATGCCCACTTTAAGCCTTTCATTAACTTGTTAAATAACATTTATTGAAGCCAGGGATGGTGGTGGCCTGTAATTCCAGCAGCTCCAGAGGCTGAGGCAGGAGAATTGCAAGAATTGCCTTAGAAGTTTAGCAAGACAAGACTATGAGCAACTTGCCGAGACTCTGTCTCAAAATAAAAAATAAAAAAGGCTAGGGATATGGCTCCGTGGTTAAGTGCTCCTGGGTTCAATCCCTGGTACAAAAAAAAAAAAAAAAGGCTTAAAAATTATTCTGTTATAATTGGTATTATTACTTCAATTTCCAATGCTCTATGTTGGTGCTGGAGTATACCTATGAATTTTCCCCCCATTTCATATATTTCACAAGATGGTGGGCACACACACTGAACCCACAGCCCTACACTATAAAAACAAACAAACAAACAAACCATTTGCTTAGAGCTCAGGAAGCCCGAGCTCTTACTCTATAGCACTATTTCTCAACCAGGGGATTATTTTGCCCCATAGGAGACATTTTTGGATTTCATGACTCAGGGAGGGTGATACTGGTATCAGGTGGGTAGGGATGTGGCTAAGCATCCTATTATGCACACACCCAATAAAGAATTATGCTGCTCAGAAGTTATATAGTGTGGAAGCTGAGAAACCCTCTACTATACCTAAGTGAATGGGCAAGCTGCATAAGATTTTTGAACCCTAATATCCTAATTTATTGAAGGTTTCAGGATGAAAGAACTTGGTTGGAGTTCCTTCCAGTCCTCAAATTCTGAGATTCCAAATGGGTTCTATAGGACCATTGCTCAAGCTGGCCAGCACTCCAATGCTGCTACAGGGTAACTGTTTTATATACTTACTATACTGGGAATTATGATTCTAACATATTGGCAGAATGCTCTGTACATCTGATGATTGAGTGATGGGTATTTTGGCTGTGGTTTGGAGTGGATACTAGAATACATGAATTCACTTATGTTCCAAAAGGCATTTGTACAGTTCTTAGTGCTTCAGTAGAGCCCATTAGATAGATACTCACCCACTGCCCCATTGTGTAGCTTGGCAGACATGCTGGCCACGAGCCTTTCACAAGCACCAGAGAGCACTTGAGGTCCCACTTCCGAGGCAATTTCAACACAGTTGTGCAGCTGATACTCATCCATGTCTTTCTTGCTGCAGAAATCCTCCCATGAATTGATTTGAGGAATGAGGCCAAGCTTTGGAAATAATGAGATTTTTTTTCAAACCCTCTGCTGTCCAAGATTCTCATGATATAAAATAATAGATCTCTGAGAATAATGGTTTAAAAGACTTAATAATCCAACTTGTCTAGGACTGAAGACTTTGTGATTTTTGATTATTTAAGAAATCTTTAATTAGGTATTTTCATTTATTGATATATGGCAAAGAAATTAGATTGCCTTTATCTTTTTATTATCATCATCATGATGTTTTTTTACTTGCTAATAAATTTGTCTTAGATATCAAAGACTTATCTACGCTACTTGTGAATTAATTATGGCTGAGACAGTACTTTTCATGTGGTAGAGTGTACTATAATTCCATAAAATTCTCCTCTTGGCTTTTTTTCAGTTACATGTTAACAGTGGTGTTCTACCCACAACTTCTTGGAGATTCACAGTATAGAATAACAGCGTTACTAGAAGTCCTACAGGAAAGATACTTTTAAGATTCAGTGTTTACTATTATTTAATCAGTTGGTCCTATATCCAAATAAGACCTCTTATTAAAACCAGTGTTTCATAGATAAGATTTTGGGAATTGCTGGCATAGGCCATTTAGCTATCATGGGGACAAATGTATCAAAATAAGTTTATTTTCAAAGAGGACTCATCTGTAGTTTAATATCTATGTGAAGAAAGGCTATTATGTCACATGTTCTGAGAAAAGTTTGTTATGACCTAATACTGTTTATCTTTTTAAATTCTTTGTTTTACCTAATACTATTTAAAATGTGTATTAATGGCTTTGGATGATAAAGTAGAGAGTATGTTGACCACATCAAGGTGGTCATTTTGAACACCTGGTGTTAAAAACAGTATTGAAAATAGGTTTTCATTCAGTGGGTCAAATTAGCCAGGACCGGGTGGCATAGATAGATCTCCCCTGGTTTCCTCTTTGCTTTGTTCTTACTGAAACCAGTTTTCACCGCCCTTTACTTCAACCTTCTCCAGCCTTTCCCCAGTTGCTGTTGGCCACACCTGTGGGTGGGCTCTCAACCCTGGATGTGTATCAGGGTGTCCCTGCTCCTTGACTCGCTAGCCTGGTTCTTCTGCACTCTTGGCGGATGTTGTCCCCTCTTATTCTTCTTATTTTACAGAGAAAATAGACCCTGAATTCTCCTTCCTACCTCCCAGACTCCAGCTTGGAATATCACCAACTTCCATGTCTCCAATTGCTGACAAAGGGAGAGGCGTTTTCTACGAGGAGATGTCCCATTGCCATCTCTGCCACCATTGGGAAACTCTGCCTCACACTTTCTTGCTTCCGTCTCTTCCTTTCAGCTGAAATTAAATGTGTCCACATCTCTCCCACCTGTACAACCACCTCCTTGATCTCAGTTATTCCTCCTACCACTGCCGCTGTCTCTGGCCCTTGATTCTTGGACAGACTTCCTGAACAATGTTCTTGCCACCCCTCTGCTTTCTTTACCAGCTAATACAATACCTCTCCTCACCCCTTAATGTTGGGGATCCTCGGAGTTCTCTCATTAGCCCGTTCTCACTCCATTCCGGCTTCCTCGGTGCCACCTCTAGGCTGTCGGCATTGGAATGTATGACTCCTGCACCTGCCTCAATGAGACTCCACATGTGCAGATCTGCACTGATCCAATTGCCTATTGGTTGCCCCACAGCACCACAAACCAGGCACCTGAAACCATTTCTCCTTTCTGAGTCTGCTGTTGCTAAGTAATGCCACTCACCGCATCTGCCAAGCTCTCAGTGGAGGGAACAAGGTCATTTTGACATCTGTTCCCTTTCTGTCAACAAACCCCACCACCACCTGTGTCCCACCCACATCACCTAAATCAAAAGCCTGCTCAGTTCTACCTCTTAAATGTATCTCGGATGCATTTACTGTTCTCCTTTCCCTCCCACTTCCCTAGCTGACGAGAGTGGCAGCCCAAGAGATGTCCCAGTTTCCATTCCTGCCACCTCCCAACAACTTTCTGCATTCTAGTTGTTTTAGTAAGCTTCTCGTCACTGTGACCAAAAGACCTGACAAGAACAACTGAGAAGAGGAAAAGTTTATTTTTGCTCACAGTTCCAGAGGTCTAGTCCAAGGCCAGCAGACTCTAGCTGTGGGTGAGGCAGAACATCATGGCAGAAGGGTGTGGCAGAGGACAGCAGAACAGGATAGGGCCACCAGGAAGCAGAGAGGGAGCTTCACTCACTAGGCATAAAATATAAACCCCAAAGGGACACCCGCAGTGACCTACTCCTTCCCCACACCCTGCTTGTCTATAGTCACCTCCCAGTTAATCCAGTCAAGTGAATGAATCCACCAATCAAGGCACAGCTCTCATGTAATCCAATCACTTCTCCTCTGAACATTCTTACATTGTCTCACACATGACTTTTGGGAGAACTGCACATATCCAAACCATAACCATAGTCATAATGATCCTGGTTAAATGTGCTTTGTTCAGATAATCCCCTCCTTATAAACTTTTCAGTGGCTTCCACTGCCTCTGGAAAAAAAAAAAATCTAAACTTATTTTCCTCATTCTGCTACCCCACTGCCCAGCCTGGCAGCCCAGTGATTCTCACTATGGGAGGCACCTCCCACTGGGGACATCTGGAAATTCAGAGTGGTTTTCATCATCACAGTGGTTGAGTAAGGTGTGTTAAGGGCATTTAGTGCATGGGGGTCATAAATACTAGACATTCTCATAAAATGGAAAATGATCTGATGTTATCTACAAGTTTCAAATGTTCCATTGAATACCCATGCATGCTCTCCACCAGGATCTGCTGCTTTGCCACAGGCCCCAAAGCAACAGAGCCAACCAACCAAAACTATGAGCCCTAATAAACCTTTTTTCTTTGTAAGTTGCTTATCTCAGGTACTTGGTTATAATAATAGAAAGCTGTTCAAAACATCAGTAGGTTGGATTAAAGAAGGTTGAGAGCCATTTGATGAGTCATACTGAGCTTTTCAGGCCAGTAACCCACTATGACTCCAAGGACCTCTTATATATTCTGTTGTTGTCTGCTTGTCTACATGTCCCTTTTATAGAGTGAGCCTTGGGTGGCAGGGATGGTATATGTCTTGTCCGCACCTGTGCGTAACATCATGTCTAATTTATAGTAAGTGCTTCATAAAACTATGTTCCATAAACAAGTATATTTATATTTCCACTATTTTATATTTAAGTTGATACAAAGGTAACTAAACATTTAAAAACAAAAACAGGTAGGAAGAGAGTCAGGAGACAGGTAGATGGTACAAGACTGGGGATAAGGGTAACTGTCCAGAGACTATTAATAGCTATCAGTCTGGAACAGTTTAGAGTTGGCTGTACCAGGCTGATGGACCAGATGACAAGAGTCTCTGTCAGCTATAGGATTTTGTAATGCCATGACTCACTTCTTTTCCTAGAAACTTCAAAAGATTTTATGTTTACCAGTGTAGTCTGCTCCAGGATTTAAAAAGAATGGCAGTTTTATATTCTAGAATGCCTAATATACTTTTGACTCCAAACACAGTTTTATGGAAGCACATATCATGTAATCTGAGCAACTGAAAACAAATCTCAACTGTCTTACTATGTCTGCCAGACAAAAGGCATTTGTGCCGAAGAGCACCCAGGGTAGAACAGAGGTTGCCTTTGGTCTTCTCGGTATGTACTCTGGTCTTAGATGCCAATGATAATCTAAGGGGAAGAATGAACTTTGATATGACTCAGTCCCAACTGGTTGTGTACTTTCCAGAGTAGCAAAATTAGTAATGTAGCATTACGATGTTAATTTGTAATAATGAAATGTACAATGTCTTTCTTCAGCTGGCCGTCCTGTCAGGGCCTATAGTGCACACTGAGGTGCCCAATCTAGATCCTTTTGGGCTAGTGTATCAATCCTTCAGCTGCTATGGCATTGTCTCCTAAAGACCACAACAGTCTTCTTCAGAAAATAGGACTCAGCCATCTTGTCCTGGAATTTATGTACTCATTGGAGGGCAGGTGGTGGTGACACTGGTGAGCCTATAGCCAATGACTTGGGCACATTTAGGAACACCACATTGCCTCCAGGTGGATTTAATTCTTTGGTGCAATTCCTCTTTTCCTGGGAACATGCCCTCAATAAATTACATATATTCGAGACCCTGTCTCAGGGCATCTGAGACCCTGCTGTTAGGGAATAGTGTCTAAAACAGGAATCCAGGGCCTCTTCTGAGATTTTTTATGGTTATCCAAGATGATATTGCTGTCCTAATTTTTATTTATGTTTCAGGGTTTTTCATATATATAAGAGAATGATTGCTTGAAAATGATCAAATGGATAAGTTTTTAAATTAATTTCAAATTATCCACTTATACTTATCAAACATTACTGCAATAATTTTAATTACATGTTTGTTTTCTATATCAAATTGAGATTTCTTTGAAGGCAAAACCCATATTTTACACCTTAGGCCTAGCACAGTGCCTGGTGTGTATACGTTTAGCGAAGAGATAATTTGGATGGATATATTTAATATAGCATCAAGTAATAACCTTTGGAATTTATAAAATTTAGAAATATTTAGAATATGGGTTTAAAATGAGGACTATCTTGGCTATTATAAGCTCAAGTTTTGTGATCATCATCATCATCATCATCATCATCTCCTTAGTGATCTAGGGATCCCTGGATACTTTATCTTTATTTGCTCTGTCTGGGTTCCCAACTTTTAGCATTTTTTGTCCCTGAATCAAACTTGTTGAATATGATTTTCTTCCTTTTGTAATTCATAGGTTGGTTCATAAGCACAGTTCCATTAAAGCTCCTCAGCAGAGAAGATAAATTGTATAGGTAGGGAAAGCATGATAGTTTGAGTTTCCCATTCAAAACTTTGTTTCTACTTTCTACTTCATTTCTATTGTAATGTGGTAGAACCTCACCTCAACTATTATATAGCCCTCCAGATGTGGGGTTAGGCCACCTTGGTTAAGGTTGCCAGTATTACCCAGTTTAAATTGAATTTCAGAGAAATAACTGGTTTTGTCAGTTTTTTTTTTCCCTGCCGTGACCAAAAGACCTGACAAGACAAGGAGGAAAAGTTTATTTGGGGCTCACAGTTTTAGAGGTCTCTGGTCATATATGACCAACTCTATTCCTCAGGACCCAAGATAAGGCAGGATATCATGGTGGAAGAGTATGATGGAGGAAAACAGCTCAGGACATGACCACCAAGAAGAAGGGTGGGAGTGGGAGAGAGAGAGAGACAGAGATGGGTGGGGGGCTCCCTTCACCACAGACAAAATATAAACCCAAGAACACACCACCAGTGGCCCATTCCTCCAACCACATCCTAACTGCCTATCGTTGCCACCCAGTGAATCCTTATAATGGGATTAATGAAACGATTAGGTTAAGACTCTCATAACTCAATTATTTCACTTCTAAACTTTCTTGCATTGTCTCTCACATGAGTTTTTTGGGGACACCTCATATCTTAACCATAACAACAATGAATAATTTTTCATAAATGTCTTATGCAACATTTGAGGACAATATTTATATGAAAACATATAAATATGAGGGACATATTTATATGAAAACTTAATTGTTCTTCTGAAATTCAAATTTAACTGAATATACTCTCCCTTCCATCCTTCCTTTCTGCCTTTCTTGGCTAAACCTTGCAATCCTATATTTGGCTAAATAAGCCAAAAACTATGCCTGTTTGATGTTAATGATAGGTAAAACTTGTTTAATAAAATCCAAGATAAACATGCCCGTACTGAATTCTATATAAGCAGATATGATAAAGTTCCAGGATTTAAACTTTAAATGTTTGATGGTTAAATATTTGAACTTTGAAGGCTTAATTTACATGACATAAATATATTTTACACTAAATGAGGGGCCTAGAAACTACCTGTAAAGGGGTAATAGTGAACATATTTGGCTTTGTGAGCCAGAAGGTTTCTGTGCAACTCCTCAACTCTTATTTGAAGTTTTAGTTTGAATCAACTACAGATAATACACAAACAAATGGGCATGAGTGTGTTCCAATAAAACTCAGTAGGGACATAGTTTCCAAGTAAAACGTGAAACTGAAAATTAATTGGAACATTTCTTCCAGAAAAGAATTTGGTAAATTATTTCAAGAACCATGAAAAGATAAAGTAGAAATCTATTTTAAAATTATATATCATATATACATAGTCATGAAAAATCCACTTATGTGACCACAAGTAGGGTAATGGGTAAATTAAATAAATTTACTCAATGCCCGAACTCTGGCTAGTGGCCAGCCTGTATTGGAAGGACGGTGCAGATAAGAAGTTTGGAAGGAACACCTATGGTTCAGCTCTATGGGAAAGATGCTGAGAGAGGTCACTCAGAGCATTATGCACGGTTCCTAAAACAGATAAGATAAAGCTCCCGTTCCTAACTCCTTACATATCAGCTCTGTAGACACTGTGCCTCAGTTCTCCCATCTGTGAAATAATGACAGCACCCACCTCACAAGGGTGCTGTGAAGATTAAATAGCATAATTTGCAACACCTCCAAACCATTACTGTGACATGCTGTTATAAACGGCTCACAATGGCTATTAGGTGACTCTTGTAATTAAACAGAAACACTTATATTTTTTTCAAGAGACATATCATTGGTCGAAAGGTAGAATTATATTGGCCCTCAGCTGAGAAGAAAGCATCCATAAAGCTCTGAGATACTTACAGAATCAACCAGGATGTGAGAATGAGTGTGGGACTCCAAAGGTTGAAAAAAATAGACGTCGATGGAATATTGTACTTCTGGTTCTAAACAGATGGGTGTGGGAAGCAGCTTGATTCTGGATTAAGAGAAACACAGCAAACTTCAGTGACAGAAATACCATTATATCACTTATGTGGCCACAGTATTTGGTAGCATTGCGCTTGAGCTGGAAGAGTGCTCCACACTGTGGGCTAAAACAAGATCTAGGTCTATACCAGCACCGGTGGGCTGGCTGGACGGTATATGCACACTTAGATGCTCCATGGCCTCAAAATTAGTAGCTTTGCTAGGTACAGTGGTGCATGCCTGTAATCCCAGGCACTTGGGAGGCTGAGGCAAGAGGATAGCATGTTTGAAGCCAGGCTCAGCAACTTAGTGAGGCTTTAAGCAACTCAGTGAGACCCTGTCTCAAAATAAAAATTAGGAAAAAAGGGCTAGAGATGTGACTCAAGGATTAAATGCCCTTAGGTTCAATCCCTGGTACAAAAAAAAAAAAAAAATTAGTAGCTTTAACTTTGTAGATGCTCAGCTATGGAGAGTACTCAACTGAATATTCTACTCTTATTCTGACAGCATTTCACTTTCTCACATTTCAAAGCCATCTGGAGAGTGGAAAAGGAACATTCAAGTTTAGGGCCAGCATATCTATATGGGCTGGGATCCTGGTTTTGCTGCACTGGAGATAAAAGTTGAAAAAGTCCTTTAAGTAATCTCAATTTCTCTTCATCAAATGAGGACATAATTTACCTCATTCAGTTGTGGCTCAGGAGTAGAGCACTTTCCTAACATGGGTGAGGCCCTGGGTTTGATTCTCAGTACCACATAAAAATAAATAAATGAATAAAATAAAGATATTGTGTCTAACTACAGCTGAAAAATTAAATATTAAAATATTTATATTTTAATATAAGTACATAATAAGTTCTATGGTCTTTTCAATGCCCCTCTTCCCCCTTTTAGTATCTGGATACATATTATTGACATATGAATCAAATTCTAAGACAGGTCCCAAGCATACCTGGCAGCTGCTGATAAGACGAAAGACTGAGGCTCCTGCGGTAGAATCTTGTGTGTGCAGTACTTGCTCTCCCCAGAAGGGTTAAACACGACCTGGATGGCCCAGTCATCTGCAGACTATACAGGCATGACATCAAAGCATGTCACAGTGAGGAGTTAGGAAATTATTTTGTGCACACACTGGTATACCTAATGGATAGTTCATAGAATTGAATTTGCAATCCACAGCTCACTTGGAAAACAGAATTTTGGAGTCAAAAGGATTTGAGTACCTCACTTCCAGGCCCAGCTCTCTGGTGTCTATATTATGATCCAGGCTGCAAGAACATTGTTTTTGGCCATAGTTACTGCCCCCAAGCCTAGAAAAACCCTAACTTTTCTGACAGGTCTAATGTTCATGCTCTGTCTCAGAAGGATTTGGTTCATTCCTCATGTCCCTGGATCTCAGAACAAAGAATACCAATCTGGAGTCCTTCATAAAAGGACATATATCTATCCTATCTAACTATGTGTCAAGAGAGAATAATTAGTTTCATTTGGGAAGTCTTAAAATTTGGAGAAAATGAGTTGTATTATGAATAGATGAATATGTTCTACGAATAAAAACATCTTTTTCTTTTTTAGTGGCTCATACTCACTGGGTCAAAGTTCATTCAAGTCCATGGCTTTCATTTATAAGTAGGAAGTAAAGAATTATGTTCTATCAACAGTTTTAAAGTGGGTCAGTGATGTGATCATGTGATGCACAGTGAGCAGCTCCACAGTGTGGTCCCCAGAGGGACAATTCCTCTTTCTAGTCACATAAAATATTTTTTTTGGAGAGTTGGTTGGTAAGCTTCATATTACCAAAGAAAAGGTTAGGGACTATGGTTCCAGAGCAAGCATTTTTCTAATTTTGTTTTTATTGCATTTCAGATATTTATCAAGAGATGTGGAGAGCAGGCAGTATGGCAGCAGGTGGGGTGTGGGGCTATCTATCTGGTTTTAGTCTTTCTCTTGTAGCAGGGTAAGACCTAAATGCAAATAAATGCTTCTGCTTCATCCCTTCTCAGTCTAAATCTCAGCACATATATTGACTTTAAAAAATTTAAAAAATCCCAGGAGGGCAGAATTGGTGTTATTTTAGTTGTTTATTGTTCTTGTACAAACATTCAGCCACTACTTCCTTAAACCTGGTCCCCAAACATACAGCTCCAATGTTAGCTTCTCCCTATGGATGAAGCATGTGAGCACATGGTTTTATGCTTCAATATCTTTAGGAAACCCTTTTGTCTCTAATACTTTCCAGATGTTTTACTTGTGCCAAATTGTTTTAGGATGAACCTATCCTAGCAAGGCTGCAATGGAAACAGTTCAAGAATGTATTGCTCTCATTTTTTTTTTTTTTTTTTTTGCCATCATGAAGTTGGAGTGCAAAGTTACCTGAGTTTCATAGCGAACAGCAATGGTATAGTCCATGGGAAAAGGAATGTTGTTGACAGCAAATCTCAAGCCAGCTCCAGGGAGAACTCTGGCAAATCCAGGTCCAGTCCATGTAACAGGGTTCCCAGGAACAAGCTCTCCGAAAACAATGTGAACTGCAGGCACCTGGCCAAAAGTCACCAAGAGGAATGTAACTATCTTTCCCTATAGTCACAGTCTGGAAGAATTCAGCAAAAAATAAAAAAGTATTTCCTTGGTGTGTATATGATCCATCTGAGTCATGAATAAATTATTCCCACCAGGATACAGTCCAGAATCCAGCGAGAATAATGTGCTGACACTGCAGCTTTGGAACATATGTTACTATATAGAATGATTAATCTGAAGGCAATGTCAAGAGAAACCATTTAAATTTACAGTACCTTATGTGCTAGTGACCTAAGCAAATTCCACATTGATAACCTTGACTTTTCTTAGATGTAATTGTGGAACTCTGGCCAAAATAAGGAGGGAAAAAGAATATTTTCATGTCTACTTTGGGGATTCTTCCTTAAACGTGCATGACAATGAGAAAACCCACATAGGTTTCCTTTCTAGATATTTCTTCCACCCAAACATGAGAAATGCTCTTCTTCTGTCTGCCTGAGGGCATGTAAGTACAAAACTCCTAACACATTTGATTGCTTAAAATCCCTGATGGTCTCTATAAACCGGATGTCAGTGTAAGAACATCTGGACCTTGTAGATAATATTCTTTCATTGCTTTTGCATCTGCCTCTCCACGTTCAGAGCCTCCACTCAAATTCTGCCTCTGGTTGCTTTTGCCTGAATTGCAGCAATAGCTCTCGGCTCTTCTCTCTTCCTGGTCCAAAACTTGTTACACATTGCTGCCAACGAAGCATTTTGAACTCTTCTTAATTGCCAACAGAATAATGTTCAAAACATTCAGCCTGGAGTTCAAGTTTCTCTGTGGTCTTCCCCAAACTTCCCTTGATTTGAGAAATGTTTGTTTAATAACATTCAGTGCCAGCCTCTGAATGAGGAATGCAAAGATGAATAGGACAGAGCCGCTGCCCCCAAGGTGTTCAGAGGCTTGAACTGAAGACAGAAACATAAATAAGAAACCTACAGTAGATTAGGTTCTAACAGACAGAGGCATATGTAAAGTCACCTCTGTGCAATGTTTTTCAAACACTGAAAAAAATACCCTAGCAATTGCAGTGCCCTCCACCCCCATCTCCTTTACCTGGTTAGTAAACCCATCTCCCAGTTGCGGCTAAGAGCTCACAGCTGACCCTCACTGGAGAATTGCTTTTCTATATCCCCCTCTAACTCCAAACTCTCCTAGCAGAGCTCACTGCCAATGATTGACAGATTGAGGGTATACAAGGCTGGCCCTTAGGCCTCAAGGGGCAGGACACTTTGGCCTGCAGTTTATATACCTGAGCTTCTCTGAGGATCTACTCAAGGTCTGTTGTGTCTAAGACCACATATTACTCTGCACTTTCCTCTTTTTCTCTTTCACACCCTTCAAGAATTTTCCTGAAGAAAGCTTCCTGGCAGGATCTCTTCTTAGGCTCTGTTTCTAGGGCACTTGGCCTGAGACGCTAGTAGCAGACAGTTGACCTAAAAGTAGACCCTAAGATGTAATATTGGAGGTGGTTAATTTACTACTCAGCTGGCAGTGAGGACCCCAGTATGGAACTGTACTGATGGTCCCCAGCAAGAAGTAGTGGTACAATTGCTAAAACTGTCACTAGTGAGGATTTAGGATGAGGGAAGGGGAAGCAGTGTCTTGAATGGTATTTTGGGCATTGGAAGATATGGGAGACACAGTAATTATAAGGACTTTAGATGGGGTGGATGCCTTTGATGAGAGAAAACGACAGGCCCAGGACAATCAATTGCCAATTTAAAGCAAAGTGTAAGAATCAGTCACAGGGTCTTTTGGGGGACATGTTAAAGAGACTATGATCTCCTCTAGCTAGAGGGCAAAAGAGCTGAAGACTGGGCACAAGACATAATCACTGAACTTGAGGTAAGTTGCTTATGCCAAGGACAGGCTCACCAAAAAGCAGCAGAATGCCCGGAGATGGGATGGTGCACATGAGAACCCTGAACCCTCAGGTTCTCCTCAGCACTCTGAGACTATTGAAGGGCAGCCTAAGAAAAACTGAAAAATGTTGTCCCAATCCTTCACCCCCACATGTTCAGACAATGTAGAATTCTCAAATACATGTGTCTTTCAAGAAAATGTATGCTTTCCCCAGGATCTGCTAGTGTTTCCTCTTCTGACCATTTTCCAAATAATTAGGGTCAAGTCTCAGCATGATGGAAGAGGGAAAGTTCTGGATCTTTGAGAGGGATTATAACCAAAGAAGCTGGAGGACCTGGCAGACATGGACCATGAACCCTGGGAGAGAATCACTGAATGTGCATCCTGAAAAGTGGAATATGAAACTGGATAAGGGAGAGTTTGTTGATTTGAATCCACATGGAATCTAGGATTTAACAGCCTGGCAAGGGCCCTGGGAGACAAGATAGGATACTTGAGTAGCTACTGGAAACTTTGCATAGACCATGGCCCAGAATAAGTGAAGTTGAGATGCAAGAAGGGCTGTGGCAGGATATGGAGAGAGAGAGAGATAAAACTCAAAGAATTAGTCATGCTAGGATGGATTTAAGATATAAGACTGGAAAACCCACCAACTAAGTTTGTGTGGAAAAGCTGTTTTACCAAAACGGTGAGGAATGAGAAGGGGAAGGGAGGACCAGCATTGCTGAGAAGCCAGTATTGACTCTTCTGTAGACTGGAAAGACACACTACTACAAAATTGAACTCCTTGTTAGCAGTGTGCCTGGCAGAATTCCAGACTATCAAAGGCTGGATGGCAGCACTTAATCTCAGAAACAAGATGGATAATCATTATTATAATGGGCAGTGAGGTTGGAATGGAAGACAAGGGGGCTGAACCACAGGAATCTTTCATGGAGATGATTACTAGAACATTGTTTTCCTAGAAGCAAGACAGATGAACAGTCAAAAGACAGATGGACACTATTTAATGTATATAATCAAAAGTGAGCAATCTGAATCAGCTAAAGGCTGAGGTCAGCTGCTCTAGAGGAAAGATACATTTTTTTTTGCCAAGTTTCTAAATCTGACCCACTTCTCAGTACTAGAAACAAGCGACAGGTGCTCATGAGGAAGGAATCTTCAGTGCCATTGCAAATGTGATTCTCTTACTTATTCCTCCAAGAGAAGTATGGCTATTTACTTTAGTCACTTTTTGTTAAGTAAGGGGATATTCCCACAGCTTTAAATGTTAGTGGATTTAGGATCTGAGTTGAGGCTGGTAACCAGAAACTCAAAGTGCCATTATGTTCCCCTGGTTAGAACAGAAGGAGGTAAGTGTGCTAGGTCTACAACCAGGTAAGTGGTGCAGCTGTCAGCTCTAAGAAGCCACACTTCCTGTCTGAACCAGAACTTGATTGAATGCAGAAAGAAGGCAAGGCATCCTGAGGAACATGACACCAGAAAAGTCCATTATATCTTTTCCTATTTGTGTATTCTCCTCTACTAACCAACTATTCCCACTGGAAATGGTGACCAGAGGAAAGAGAAATTGGGAAACCCATAGTTTCTTTTCCTTCATCTTTCCTCCTTTACTAGTGTGGAAAGACACCACCAGGACATGCACCAAGAGGCCAATTAAAGACAGCTGAGTTCCTTTTGCTGGCATTTCCACAGGCCAGAATGAAATACTTCCGAATACATGACTACAAATTGACAATGTAGATCTGAATAAAAAGTTTGTCATTTCAGTGATTCCACATGACTGGAATGCTCTGTTTGCAGCTGAAATTGCTGTTGCATCATGTACAAATATGTAACAATGAATTCCACTATTATGTATGATTATAACGTACTGATAAAAATATGGAAAAAATGATGTTGCCTGATACAAAGATGAATGGCAAAATTTATGCTAATAATTTAAATTTTTGTATATCTTTACTTAGAATGACATTGAATAGAAAATTAAAAAAAACAACAACAAAAAACACTCTTGACAAACTGAGAGAAAGACCATGAAAGAAAGTAAAAAGCTTTATATTTTAGTACTTTCAATAGGTCTCTTCTCTGTTTTTTGGGCAAGGGACCTTACGCAGGGTCTGAGCATGCAGGAAGTGGGCTTTAGCAGATGCTAGGCCAGCACAGCCTTCGGCCAGCTCCTCATTGTTGGCTGCAGTGGCTCACACCTGCACCCTTCTCTTGAGAATTGCTGTTGGTTGGTAAGAGGCAGCTCACCTGGAAGATTTCCCACCTACAACCAATGCCTGATAATAGGGAGGTACAGTGGATCTGCCCTTGTGTCTCAGTGGAGGACAACTCTGCTGTGTATTTATTTTTTACTGCTTCTCTGGGGATTAGGTCATAGCTAGGCTTTACCTCAGCCCCTTCCTTGGCTCACTTTGTCCTCTTCTGTAGCTTCTTTCCCTAAGCCCCTTAAGGTTTTTTTTTTTTTTTTTATGAAGAGTCACTCAACAAAACACATGAAACTAAATCCATACTGTGATCTTCACTTTCAGGTAATCCAGCCTAAGACACTGCCTATGCACATGAGTGTACACACATGTGGGTGTACACACACACACACATACACACACACACACACACACTTATACAAAACTGGAACAAAATTGGAAAAATATGACATTGTTATGCATTCTTCAGCTGTACTAAACTAACAAAGTTGACTCCTTGGCCTATTTACTAATAGGCATGATCTGCAGTTTGAAATGACTGATCTATTGGACCCCAGAGAAGGAAACAACTAACTATGTCCAGATGTCAGGGTAGGGATTGTTAGGGAAAGATTAATCTGAATTGGATCTTAAGCCATGAGGGGAAGATTTTCAGGTCGATAACACAGAGGTGGCCATTTCAGGCAATAAGTGGGAGAGTGTGTCCCGGATGCTTTGAGCTTAGTTTCTCAATGTGCTGTCTTGGACCAGCTGTCTCAGAATCACTGTGGGATGCCTAAAAAACATTCAGCCTTTGAGCCAGTCTCGAGTCCCCAAAGTAACATTTCTGAAGTCATTTTTAAAAATATTTATTTTTAAATTATAGGTGGACACAATATCTTTGTTTTTTTATTTTTATGTGGTGCTGAGGATTGAACCTGGTGCCTCACGCATGG